GGGATTGAGTCCCACATTGGGCTCTCTGCTAGGCAGGGAGACTGCTTCCTCCTCTCTCTCTCTCTCTCTCTCTCTACTTGTGATCTCTCTCTCAAATAAATAAAATCTTTAGAAAAAAAAAAGTTCTGACTTTGGAGTCAAACAAACATTAAGTTTGAATGTTAAATTTGACATTTACTAGTTAATGGGCAAGTTGCTAAACCTCTCCAAGTCTCAGCTTTCTCACCTTTAAAATGGAAACAATAATATTAGTATTTTACAAGGATTTAGGGAAGATTGAATGAAAGTGTATATGTAAATCCATGCAGAGAGTGTCTGTCACACAACTATTGAACATCAGCCACCAGGATTATTACTGGTATTAGTATTATAACACTCACTACTTTTTTTGGAGAAAGTCATCTCCCCTGTGAGGGACCACAGTTTTTAGTGTCCTCATCTCAATATATTTCCGGTTTTTTCACAATCTCTTATTCTTTACAACAAATATTTGAGTACCCCACTATATATCGGGCACTGTTTTAGATGCTGAGGATACTGTAGGTTTGGAGGAAGAAATCTCTTCTTCTTCCCTAAAGTTGATTCGTCCATCTGTACCTTGGATCCTCGTCTTTCCCAATCACCAGGAAAATTTTCTTTCTTTTTTTTTAAGATTTTATTTATTTCTTTGAGAGAGAGAAAGAGATTGAGCATGATGGGGCGCCGAGCTGAGGGAGAGGGAGAAGCAGGCTCCCCACTGTGCAGGGAGCCGGAAGCAAGACTGGATCCCAGGACAGAGAGATCATGACCTGAGCTGAAGGCAGATGCTTAACTGTCTGAGCCACCCGGGCGCCCCTGGAGGATTTTTCTTAGAACTTTTCTGTTTCGATCTTCTAATATCTTAAATGTTTCCCTCTTTCCTAGCCCCTTCCCCTTTGCTTTAAAATGGCTTCAGGTTTTGTCAAAAATTTCTGACTCTGGGGCACCTGGGTGGCTCAGTGGGTTAAAGCCTCTGCCTTCGGCTCAGGTCATGATCCCAGGGGCGTCGGATCAGGCCCTGCATCAGGCTCTCTGCTCAGCGGGGAGCCTGCTTTCACCCCTCTCTCTCCCTGCCTGCATCTCCGCCTACTTGTGATAAATAAATAAAATCTTTTAAAAAATAAAAGAATTTCTGACTCTTCTAATTAATTGAATTAAAATTGTATTTCACTCCTTTTTATTTTCAAGCCTCTTCAGTACCTGGAATCTTGTTTCCATTCCTCACAATATAGTCCCTTCTCAATTCCCTATCATCTTGTTCCCATCCTCACTACTTACTGAAGCCACTTACGTGGTGGTCTCCAGTGACTTCCTTGACACATCTAAAAAGTCTCTCCATCCTCATTTTTCCATGCAGCATTTGTCACTGCTAACCTTCCCCTACATATTACTTCTTTGTTTTTAATTTTCATTGATTGCTAACAATTTCAAAAACAGGAATGTGCATAATATAATATAACCAATTTATGTACCCTCTACCCAGTTCTATTGAATCTTGCAACATTAACTTTCAGAATGGGTTTAAAGAAATAAGTATTATAGATATGATTGATATTCCCTGTATGCCTCTCCCCAGTCTCAATCCACTTGAATTTGGTGATGATTATACCCTATCATGTTTTATATACTATTACTATTATATCTATATAACCATAAGCAACAGATAATATTTTCAGATTTTATATAAGTAGACTACTGCACATGTTCTGCTCTTTTTACTCAACATTGTATTTTGAGATTTAACTCTGTTAATACATAGCTCAGATTATTCATTTGAATTTCAAAATAGTATTTAACTGTATTCATGGTGATTTATTTGTCCATTCACCTGCTGATGGACATTTAATTTGCTTCCCTTTTTTTTTGAGAGAACATATAATGCTATAATGAACATCCTCTTTAAAAACTTATTTATGGGGGCGCCTGGGTGTCTCAGTGGGTTAAAGCCTCTGCCTTCGGCTCATGTCATGATCCCAGGGTCCTGGGATCGAGCCCCGCATCAGGCTCTCTGCTCAGCAGGGAGCCTGTTTCCTCCTCTCTCTCTGCCTGCCTCTCTGCCTACTTGTGATCTTAGTCTGTCAAATAGATGAATAAAATCTTTTTTTAAAAAAACTTTATTTATGTATTTATTTGAGAGAGAGAGAGTGCATGAGCACACATGCCTGCAAGTGGAGGGGGGAGGGAGAGAGGGAGAGAATCCCAAGTAGACTCTGCACTGAGCATGGAGCCTGATGTGGGACTTGATCCCATAACCCTGAGATCCTGAGCCTGAGATCAGGATATAGCTGAAACCAAGAGCCTTTGCCCAACCAACTGAACCACGCAGGCACCCCTTCAATGAGCATTCTTTTTCATGTCTTCTTGTGCATAAAGGTTAGAGTTTTGCCTGGGTCTATACCTGGAAATTGAATTTCAGGGTTGAGTTGTATTACATATTCAACTTTATTAGGCCATGTCAAATTTCTCTTCCTAGCAGTTCTAACAGCTTATGCTCCTTTTAGCAATGGATCAGAGAGTTTCATCTGTTCTATATCCTCAACAACACTTGGTGGTATCTGAATTTTTAAAGTTTGCCATACCAAGGTTGTGAAATACTACCTCATTGTTTTAGTTTTCAATTTCTCTGAATAGTAATGAAGTGAAACATCCTTTCATGTCTTTTTAAGAAATTTTTATTTAAGTAATCTCTACACCCACCATGGGGCTCATGGGGTTTAAACTCATGACCCTGAGATCAAGAGTCAACGTGCTCTTCTGACTGAGCCAGCCAGGCACCCCCATCCTTTCATGTCTTTATTGGCCATTTGGGTTTCTTTGAATATGAATTGCTTATTCATGTATTTTATCAATTTTTCTTTCTTTTTCTCACTGATTTACAGGAGGTCTTATACATTCTGAACACTAATTCATTAATTAATTTAATCAAAATTTCTTTAGTATATACTTTGTTCCAAGAATGGTTATATGTTCTGGGGCTGTAGCTATGAACTAAACAGACAAAATATCTGCCCTCATGGAACTTACATTCTTGTGGGGGAAGGAAGGTAAATAATATACAACATCAATAAGTAAAATAGATAAAATAATGGATAGTGATAAATTTTATGGGAAAAAATGAACATGGAGGATGAATGAAGAGGCATGTTTTTGTGAAAGTGGTTAAGGAGATTGTTGAATGGCAATTTTAAATAAAGTTGTCTAGGAAGTCCTCACTGAGAAAGTGACATTTGAGCAAAGACCCAAAGGAGGTGAAAGTGCAGGTAAACAGCAAGTGCAAAGGCCCTGAAGCAGGGGTGTGCCTAGAAAGTTCTAGGAATAACAAGGAGCAGTGTGACTAGGCAGAGTGAGTTGCAGAGAGTGGTGGGAGACAATTCTGTAACGTGATGACAGCTAGAAGTATAGAGCCTCATATTTTGTCCTTTGTCACTTAAATGTATCAAAAATATCTTCTCCCAGTCTGTGGCTTGTCTTTTAACTTGTTTATGTTATCTTGAAGTACAGGCACTTTGAAAGTTAATGTAGTTAAATGCATCTATCAATTCCTTTATTGTTTGTGCTGTTTGGTTTCTTAAATAGTCATTCTTATTCCTTATTCCAAGCTCATAAAGATATTCTCCTATTTTCTTATGAAAGTTGTGAAGTTTTGATTTTTCACGTTTGGATCTTGAATCCACTTGGAATTGAATTTCTCCTCTATCTCCTCTATGGTATGAGGTAGGAATCTAGTTTGATAATTTTCTATATGGATAAATAGTCCATTCTTTTTCCACTGATTTGAAATGCCACAGTATGTTGTATATCGACTTTCCATATTTGTGTGTGGATCTGTTTGGGGCTCTGAATTCTGTTCTGTGGGTCCGACCAGCTCTATATCACATGCTCTTAATTACTACAGCTTTAAAATCAGTCTTGCTATCCACTGCACTATAGAGTCTTTTTCTTTTTAAAGGTTTGTATTTATTCATTTGACAGAAAGACACAGAGAGAGAGGGAACACAAGCAGAGGGAGTGGGAGAGGAAGAAGCAGGCTTTCTGCTGAGTAGGAAGCCTGATGCAGGGCTGAGTCTCAGGACCCAGGGATCTTGACCTTAGCTGAAGGCAGATGCTTAATGACTGAGCCACCTAGGCTCCCCTGTAGATTCTTGAGCAAGTAAAAAATGCAACTGAAACATTATTCCGGGAAGAATGTTCTTATGATTATCAAGAGAGTAAAATGGTTAAAGGAGAGATCACAAGGGGTACCAGTAAAATGATGGGGGTGCAAGTGGAGAGAAAACAAGGAATCTGAAAGTAATTCCAAAGAAAATATTAATAATGTTTGTTTGTTGACCAGTTCGATACAGAGAAATTAGGAGTAAGGAGGAAAGCACATGGCTTAGAAGTTTCAAGCCTGAGTGGCTGTGTAAAATGATGAGTTAGTTTTGTGGTCCAGTATTGTGTTAACCAGTGAGATATGTTGGGCACGGGGTCTGGACCCGGGAAGTGTATTTGGTCTTTGCCTGCTTAGAGATTACCTGGAGGGGGCGCAAAGGAAGAATAAAGGTCTGAGCTTTGGGGATCTTTCTAAAGATTTAGGTGGTGGAAGGAAGAAGGGGAATGGGAAAACATTTGAGGTAGGATAACCACCAAGTGCGTTATAACTGTAATAACGATTTTTTTTTTACTGGATGATGTAGGTCTTATCGGTCCATCACACTTGCGTTCTCTCATAGGTATAGCTGTGTTTTGTTTCTATGGCAACCTTTGATGCCCACAGAACAATTCTTGTGTCACAGGCAGCATTCAAAACGCAATCCTCCCTGGACGTGGTAGAGGCGCCCCCGGTCCGTCGGGTCTCTCGATGCAGTTCCGCTGGTTGGCCGCAGGGGGCGAAATCTGCGGCGGCCTGGAAAACTGGCGGGGGCGCGAGACGCCGCTCTCTCTCGGGTCAGGCTCTCGGCTCTCGGCTCGGCTCCCTGCTCCCGGTTCCCGGCTCTCGGCTCTCGGCTCCTGGCTCCGGGTTCCCTGTTCCCTGCGCAGTGCTGTTCCTCAAACGACGCGCAGCCTAGGACTGTGGGTGAGGACGCGGGAGGCAGTGTCGTCGGATCCGCCCGCAGTCCGCAGCCCCACTGAGCCCGGAGGCCGCCGGGATGGAGCCGCGGCTCCCGGTTGGAGCCCAGCCCCTTGCTGTATCCGCTTGAGGGAAGGGGGAGGGAAGGCCGGGCCGGGCGGGCGGGGGTTCAGGGGAACTGCGGAACGCGGTGGAGAGGTTGGGGTGCGGTCGGGCCGGGGCCGAGCCGACCGGGGGAAGGGGGCCAGCGCGGGAGGCGATGCCTTGGGCAGTGGGGAGGGCGGGCGGAGGAATGGGAGCCTCTAACCCGCACCGCGCCACCCCTGCCTGGCCGCGCATTTAGAGGAGACCCTTGACTACTGCCTGCATACTATCGAGGGTATGGAGATGAAGGGTACTCTGCGGGAGCCCCGCGCCCTGACGCTAGCCCAGAGGAACGGGCAATATGAGTAAGTAACCACCTGATTCCCACGGAGGAGGAGAGCCTGCCATTACCTCCCAACCCCAAACCGCGACAAGCCACCCACCCTCCTCCCCCTGAGGCTGCGTGGGCAACAGGTTCAGGCCCAGGTGTGAAGTGCGAGTGCTGTAGGCATGGGGCTTTGTCCCCAACTTCCAAGCCGCCACATCGCTCCTAGCAGTGTGGTTCAAGTGGAAGGACTCAACAGGCGGGCGCTGAAGCAGGAAGCCTGGGTTTTTAGTTCCTGCCTCTGCAACTGACGTGTGTTGTGTAACCTTGGGCAAGTCAATAATGTTTTCTGGGCTTTGGTGTCCTCAACAGTTAAATACAAACATTAACTGCCTTTACCTTTTGGACTTTGAAGTTGTAACTGGAAGAATAATAAATGCTGAAATGGTTTGCAAAAAGTAAAAGTGTTATAGAAAGGCTTGTTAGCCTTACAGAAGTGCCTTTTCTTAATCCCATTCAACTGGTTCCTCCAGTCTGCCCACCCCCTATTCCACTTGCTTGAAGGCATAATCATAAATTCAGTAATGGTTTAGTGTACACCAGTAACTGCCTCACTTATTGACTTGACTGATAGAAAAAGTAATGAAATGTGTAGAAATAGAAACATTTGGCAGTTTGTCAGTGTGTGTTAACCTTCCATTCTGCCTTGCATTTAGAAGCTCAGTAAACACTGTTGAATAAAAGATTATTTTGATAAGCTATCACTATAGTTGCTGATCTCACTCCTTTCCACTAATGCCACATCTTAAAAGTATCCATGGTGACCAGTACATATCATGGGCCCTGTCCCTGTGTGCCCAAGCCACCTTCCTTGGTTGTTCATTGGTTTCTTGACATCAGAATTTAAAAATCATTGATCACTCAAATCTTGTCTTCTCCCAACATTGAATTAGGCCTAAAACCAGTTTTTCTCAATCTCTGCTTTTAGATTGCTCAGACCCAGTGTGTGTCTGTGCTGTCTAATTTACACAGAGGATATTCCCACTAACCTAGCCTTCTCTTTTCTGAGTCTCTTGGTGCCACTCTAACTGGACGTCAGTTGGGCTTATGAAGTAGCTTTTCCCTAGGTCCCGTTTGGTCAGCTCTGTTGGTGTGGTAAATTCATGTTGCCTTTCCCAGGTTTTAGCAAACCCTGGAAGACCAGTTTAATAGTAAATTCAATAGAAAAGTGAATTGAAGAGTGGAATGCCACTGCCACTTCCAAAGGCTAGAATGGGTGAAAAGATGTGACCCTTGGGTAAATCAGTAAATTTTTTGTACTTCTGTTTACTCTTCTGTAAAAACATAATTAGAAGGATTAAATAAAAGAGCTACACTGTTGAAATGACCACAGATAGGATGTGGTTCCTTGGTTTGATAGGTTTAGAGCTCTAGTTAGCTAATACTGAAGTGAGCAGCTGGCCTCGAGATAATTCCTCGTTTCATCTGGCCTCCTGTACTAGAAGAACTTTTAAACTTGGAGTAGGGGACACCTGGGTGGCTCTGTTGGTTAAGTGTCTGCCTTTGGCTCAGGTCATGATCCCAAGGTCTTGGGATTGAGTCCCATATTGAGCTCCTTGCTCAGTGGGAAGCCCGCTTTTCCCTCTGCCTCTGCTGCTCCCGCTGCTTTGCGCTCTCTCTCCCTCTCTGACAAATAAATAAATAAAATCTAAAAAAACAAAAAACAAATGGAGTGGCAGCTCTACTGACTATTTGTGTCCTCTCCACGAAGAAATCAAAGTCTTATGTTCCATTTCTGTTTAAGGTACGAGGGTATAGCAACAACTAAGACTTTACGGCTTGGTATGTGCCAGGTACTCTTCTAAGTACTTTCCATGAATTAGTTCATTTAACCATCATGTGAGGTTTACTGTGAAATTATAATAGTCTCATCATCATCCCTCCATTTCTAAATAAAGAAACTGAGGCACAGAGAGATTAAGTCACTTGTTCACAGGAAGTACCATACCTGAGTGTGAACCCATGTAGAATTTCAGAGTTACACTGAGAAGTTTCTTTTGAAATCATTTGTTGGTACCTAATACTGTCATATGATTTGTAATCCTCAGATTCTTGTCTCATGGGTACCTTCTCTGACTTGCATTCTTCCAAGTACTTTTCTTCCAAGTAATTTTCTTACCTTTGGGCTTTTTCTCTTAGAACTTGAAGCCTGTTATAACCTTTAGTTCTGTGGTTCCTGCTGGCAACCACTGGAAAAATTTAGTTGAGAGAGTAAAATTATAATAAAAATAAGAGGTTTTTTTTGAAATAGGGACTCAAACACTATTCTTTTTTTTTCAAGGAAAATGGATTATGATGCAACGTGTTGTTTCATCTTTAACCTTCCTTGAACTAATCAAAGTATTTCTTAGTAATGCCGAGTTCATATTCACAATCTGTTACTTTTCTGTTTGACAACTACCAAATTCTAATTTCCATTCTTTTTGCCATATACCTATTACTTTTCATCATCCTGTTCTGAAAGTAATGATTACATTTAAGAAGAATTTTTTTTAAAGATTTTTATTTATTTGACAGACAGAGATCACAAGTAGGCAGAGAGGCAGGCAGAGAGAGGGCTCCCTGCTAAGCAGAGAGCCCAATGTGGGGCTCGATCCCAGGACCCTGGGATAATGACCTGAGCCGAAGGCAGAGGCTTTAACCCACTGAGCCTCCCAGGCGCCCCTAAGAAGAATTTTTTATACTTATTTTTAGCGCTATTGCTACAATTTATTTAGTGGCTAACACATAGTAGATATTGGGGAATTGACTTAAATTCCAAGTTTATCTTTGTTTTGTGATAGATTTTTGAGGAGGTTGCACTTTTTAAATTGAGATATATTTGACATAATATGTTTCAGGTGTACAACATAATGATTCAGTATTTGTATATATTGTGAAATGGTCATAATCTAGCTAATATCCATCACCACACAGTTACAGATTTTTTTCTTATAACAATTTTTAAGATCTACTCTCCTAGTATCTTTCAAATATACAATACAGTGTTATTGACAGTAGTCACCGTGCTATACATTACATACCCATGATTTATTTTATAACTGGTAATACGTACCTTTGGACCCCCCTTGATCCATTTCACCCATACTGTACCCCTGACAACCACTGATCTGTTCTCTGTATCTGTGATTTTAGGGTTTTGTTTTGTTTTAAGATTCTACATATAAGTGCGATCATATGGTATTTGTCTTTCTCTGACTTATTTCACTTACAATAATTCTCTCAAGGTCCATTCATGTTGTTTCATGATGGCTTTTTTGGGAGATTTTTATTTATTCATTTATTTTTGAGAGAGAGAGAGAGAGAGAGAGAGAAAATGAGCCAGGAGAGGGGCAGAGGGAGAAGCAGACTCCCAGCTGAGCAGGGAGCCCAATGCAGGACTCCATCCAGGGCCCTAGAATCATGACCTGAGCCAAAGGCAGACGCTTAACCAACTGAGCCACCAGGTGCACCTTCATAATGGCTTTTCACAGTACAATCCAGTCAAAGTTTTACTGCCAATGTCAAACACTCTATTTCTTTTTTTTTTAAGATTTTTATTTATTTATTTATTTATTTCACAGAGATCACAAGTAGGCAGAGACAAAGGCAGAGAGAGAGGAGGGAAGCAGGCTCCCTGCTGAGCAGAGAGCCAGACGCCGGGGCTTGATCCCAGGACCCCTGAAATCATGACCTGAACCGAAGGCAGAGGCTTTAACCCATCGAGCCACCCAGGCACCCCTCAAACACTCTATTTCTCATCTTCATTTCTTTGAGATTATATTGGTTTGTGTTCATTTTCCCAAAAGTCAGCTCTTCCTCCTTCACTCTTGCTTTGTCAGTCTTTATCTAGTTTCTGAACTTCATTTGGCTTTATAGAACTTTCTGCTCAACTTACAAACTTTGCAGGCTGAAAGGAGCCTGCCCAAGGACACCTGGTGGTGGCTTAGTTGGTTAAGCATCCAACTCTTGATTTTGGCTCGGGTCCTGATCTCATGGATCCTGAGATTGAGCCCCATGTCCAGCTCTGCGCTCAGTGGGGAGTCTGCTTGAGAGTCTCTCTCTCCCTCTCCCCCTGCCCCTCCCCCCACTCATGCACACATGTTCTCTCTCTAAAACAAATATATTTTTTTAAAAAAGGAGCTTGCCCCATATTCCTCTAATCACCTTAAAATAGGAACCTTTGCAAATTAGGTAAGCAGAATCAGAGCAGAAAGATAGCATTAATATTTTTATTTCCACTTAGTTCTGTCTAGGCAATTCCTTTCCCCATGTTATCTCCTTTAAAGTTAACAAATTTGAAATAAAAATTCATAAAGCCAAAACAAGTCCCCCCAAAAGAAAACAAACTAGATATAAAACCCCTTAAAACAAGGACATTTTTTAATGTCAGAGGCTGAACAAGTTATGCTTAGAAATTTATCTGTTTTTGGTTTAGTTAAACTGGTTCATTTATTCACCCAGTATTGAGCATCTATATTAGGCAGGAAGCAAAACTGAGTATGATAAGGTCTTTGTTTTCAAGGAGCTCAAATCAGGGAAATAAATATAACTGCAATGGAGGGTGTTTGTGCTTTATTAGAGGGGGTAAACAAAGAGGATTAGGGTACTGGTTCTGCTTTGGACAATTAAGAGAAGCTGCTAAGAGGAGGTGATATTTGAGCTAGGTCTCAGGAAGAAAAGAAGAGTGTTTCTGGCAAAAAGTACCATCTGAAGACTGTTTGATTTGGGAGAAGCTAGGAGATACTCAGAATGGTTGCTTACCAATAGGTCATCCCTTGATTCTGGGCCACTAAGTAGTAAATGAAAATTAATATTTCAGGAGTACATAGACATACATTTAGAAGTCTTTCATTTCGTACTGGGGGGCCAAATTCAGTCCTGTTTACCTAGAAACACCAGCATGAAGTTGGAAGCCAGAGTGAAAGCACAAGGAATATAAAAGCCCTGGTTGTGATATCTGCTACCCTCTTGGTCATGGGTTGTTTTAACTGATCCAGCTGGCTGGACACCTCTTCGTACTTCTCCATGAACCTATTTACTTGTTTGAAGAGACAGAACCATTGTTTGGAAAAAGCCATGAGAATATAATATGAAGGCTAATCTATGAAATTTCTAATTCATTTATTCAACAAACTTGAGTGCTAAGTTCTAGGCACTATGCTAGGTACTAGAAATACTATGGTGAAAAGACAACCATAGTCTGCCTTCATGGAGTTCACACTTAGCTACTCTTCACTCTGCTATGCATACTATAAATGTGTATGCACTATAATTCTTGTTTTTAAGATAATAAGCTGTGTTTAGGACATAGTCTATTATATATTCTTTATGGCAGGGGACAGTGTGGTATTCAGATATTGATCATCACTAATACCCTCTTAGATCTAGAGCAATTTCTAGCTGTCACGATGCTCAGATCCAGGGAATGAGATGCAGTAAGTCTAATAAATATGGACTAGATTTGTGTAACAACACGTAATATATTTTTTGTTAAATGTTTGAGGTTTTCAGTAGTTATTCCTTGATGCATTCTTCTGTTTCCTAGGTTAATAATCCAGTTGCGCGAGAAGGAACAGCATGTTCAAGATATCATTCCTATAAATAGCCACTTCAGATGTGTTCAAGGTACTAGTTTTAATTGCCTAGCTAGTTTTACAGTGTTTTTCCCTGGTCATTATTGCATCGTGTAATACCATACATATTTAAATTTGTCACTGCACATAAATGAAATGTATTACTCTTTGCATAAAATGATAACATTACTAAGCTACTATTGAGATGATGCTTTGTCTGTGAGTGCTGAAGGATTGTACTGAAATGCAATCACCTACTTCCCTCGTTGGGGGTTAGAGGTGTATGTAGTCTGTTACCTATGATGGTAGTCTTTTATGCTATGGACCTATGTTTGGATCTAAATGACATTCTTGGTTTTAACAAACACACTGCTCATTGTACAGTATCAAGGTCACTTGGATTCACACACATTCAGCACTTTCTTCCCACACTATTCGAAATTAAAACATTTGGCAACAAGCCTTACCAGATTTTAATACCTTACACTCAGTTGTGCTGATTCTCAGACCTTGACATCGGTGAATCATAAGAAAATTGACTCCCAAGGAGGAAATATTTGGCTTCCTGCCTGCAAATTTGGGGACAAAGAACAGAAAATCTGTTGTTTCATCTGCTACAATAAGACTCAAAATTTGGGAGATTTGTGTGGGAGCTGTTGCTTCTGTTATCTCACATTGCTCTAGAAGGGAAATTGATTACTAGAGAACAAATGCATTATGTTTCCAGTGGGTTCATTGCCGTCATCAGAAAGAAACATTCTGTATCAATTGTAGCTTTTTGAAAAACTTGAATCTTACCTTGCATAGGTTTTTTTCTTAAGTTTCATAGAATCTTATTTTTATCACAGAAGTAATGCATATACTGTAGAAAGTTTGAAAAGACAGAAAAAGTGTAAAGCAAATAAGTATATTCCTATCTTTCAGAGATAAACACCCAACATTTTCCTTTTCTTCTACACATGTAACTTTTAGGGTGGGCAGAACTCATACTATATGCAGTTTTTTGTGTGTTCTTTATGCCATCATATTCTGATTGCTTTTCCATGCTATTAATAGGTATATATATGCCATTTTATGAATAGCCCATAGTGTAGTTATTCCCATGTTTGACATTTGGGTTTTTTTTTTTTTTTGCTAGTTTAAATAGCAATGTGATGAATATCTCTGTACATAAACCTCCTTGTATATCTCTTATTAGGATTTATTCCTGTAAATAGAAATACTAAATGGGTCTGACTTTTTAAGAAAATATATATTAAGAATTAAAAAAAACCTATAATGAATAGTATCCACATTGTATAGAAAAATGAAATCATAGCCATTTAGCTTGCACTGTGTGAGAGGGACATATTGAACAAGACATCTGCATGCCACAGTAAGTTGCTGTGGTCATTTCACTTTTCAGGGTGTAGTACCATTTATTACATGCCTAGCCCTTTAAGGAGGTGAAAAGCCATGACCTCAGTAAGTTTTAGCATCCTATTAACTCTGTACCTTTTTGTACTATTTCTACAACCTCTTTTTACATTATTTCTCTTAGTATTCCTTTTAATAGGAAATGGTTCATTGTTAGATTGTAATCTAAGAAAATATGTGTGTACACACATCGTAGTTCCCCATAACAAAAGGAACCATTACTTCCTTGTTTTTACACCCTTTCTGTTTCCCAACCTGTTGCATCTATTTTGATAAGTCTATAAATACTTGGGTTTTATTTATTTTTTTAAAGTTTTTAAAAATTTATTTGAGAGAGAGAGAGAGAGAGTGTGAGAGAGCCACAAGCAGGGGGAGGGGCAGAGGGAGAGGGAGAAGCAGGCTCCGCACTGAGCAGGGATCTCGATGCTGGGCTCGATCCCAGGACCCCAGGACCATGGCCTAAGCCAAAGGCAGATACCCAACCAGCTGAGCCATCCAGGCACCCCAATACTTGGTTTTAAATAATTAAAGTTACTGAAGAACAGTGAGAAATTTATAGTACTTATGTCTTGATGCACTATTGTCCCTTGCTAGTCTCATACTAATGAGAATATTGAGGCTATTTTTTAATATCAGACAACTACTTAGAGTAGCTACTGTAGTAGCTGAATAATGGGACCAAATATACAATCCAGGCTTGTGAGGGATCTAGAAAAGGCTGAGACTACTCCATCTGGCCAAGGTAGATCCAGGCTAATCCTAAGGAGTCAGTACCCAGAGTTCAACTAGCCAGGAGGGTCTTACAGGTGTTGTTGGCCAAATCCAGGGAAGTCAGGGAAGAAGAGATGGGTTGCATCTAGACACTGGAAGGAAGGAAGGAAGTCCAGGAGAGCCAGCTGGGAGAAAATAGAACTGAACTTGGAGACTGTGCTTTGCCCTGTTTTATACTTCCTTGTTAGGTGTGATAGGCCAGACCCCAGGTATTAATTGTAGCCTGAAGGTCAAGAGCTTAAGGTATTCTCTGATCCTAAATGGGGCAGAGGCAGAAGAAATGAGATCACTGGGACGTTTTCAGAGACAAAATCTGAGTTAAGAAAGTAATTCACCTCTGGGCCTTTAGGGTCACTTCCATGGCTTTTTTTTTTTTTTTAGATTTTTAAAAATTTGTTAATTTTTAGAGAGTGGGGGGAGGGGCAGAGGTGGAGAGAGCCCCACACACAGAGCCCACAGAGCCCTATGGAGCCAGATGCAGATGCGGGGCTCATTCCCATGACCCTGAGATTATGACCTGAGCTGAAATCAAGAATTGGACACTCAACCAACTGAAACACCCAGATGCACCTTGGCTTTCTATAAGAATTATCTAGGGGCACCTGGCTGGCTCAGTTAGTAGAACATATGACTGACTCTTGATCTTGGTGTTGAACCCCATGATGGGTATAGAAATCACATAAAAATAAAACCATTTTTAAAAAGAGAATTAACTAAGTGACACAGTTAGATTATATTAAATCAGTATGTTATAGTTGAGGGGAATTAAATTCATCTTTGCTTGAATTAACATGTTTATGTTGCCTACTATTGCCGTTCCTTAATTTGGTTTGAGGTGTTCCATATGGTTATTTGTTGAGTTTAGTTTTCTTTTAGTTGAATTGCTTATAATCTTTAGAACCTAGTGCTTCCAAAATCCATTTTTAAAAATGCTAACCAAAAAAAGCAAAGGATTTTTAAAATGTTTTCTAAGACCCCGGAGTGGTGACTGAGAGAAACAGTTATTTACTTGGGCATATACCTTTTTTAGTTGTAATGAATGATTTTCTCTTCCCTGATCCTGTTCTTTGTTCTTTTCCCTCAGAAGCAGAAGAAACTCTTTTGATTGATATAGCTTCAAACAGTGAGTACCGTTCTGAATGGAATTTACTTTCACTCAACATATATTTAATTGAATACCCACTAAGACCCCTTTTGGGGCACGTTTTGATTTTACCATTTTATCCTGTATTCTTCATTTTCTTAAGGCAGCCATACAAATTAAGTTTGCCCCCTAAAAACTTTTAGTCTAAACATAAGAAAAAGCAGGTGGCTGGCAAGAATCTAAAAAGTTGAAGAGGTGATCTGCTTCTCTAATGCTGAACTTCTTTGAGCCATCAGTATTTTTGGCATCAGTGGTTTTGTTTTTTAACTGCTATTATATTTTAAAATTTTTTCCTCATTCGCTGTTTATTTTTGCAATTAAATCATAATGGTTTCCTTTATTCGTTATATCATTTTGGGAGGCCATAGAGTCCCCCTTGTACTGAGGGACTCAGTTTGATTAATTGCTTGTCTCAGGCTACCTCTTTTTCCTTAAAATAATTTTGGTCTTTCATTTAAGCTCCATCCCCTCAAGGCATCCCTTCATCCGAAAGAACACAGTCTTCCTTCTCACTGTTTCACTTTTCTCATTTTTATCTGTTTGAAGCAAATCCTCATTGACTTTCTGTGCAAGCTGTTCTCTGTTTATCATCCAATTGTGCTGTGTTATGGGGAGGAGAAAATGGGCACTTGAATGCTACCTTGACTACTCAGTGGTTGCTATGGAAAGGAGTTTGTGACCACATGCATGTAAATCAAACTGGTTGCCTTATCTCTTGCTTGAGTCCTTGGATGAGTGGGGTTTAGCCCTTACCTTGAGGCTATGGGTTATACATAATTTTGTTTAGAAACAGTCACTGTCCTTGCTACCATTAATTTGTATTGAATAATTCAGTTAGACTTTTTCTGATTTGAGTTTTATTATTCTTTTCTTTGGTCATGGATTTTAGAAGTCTTAAGGTTTGGTTCTAAAAAGCTAAATAAACCCAGCTGCTGATTTCTGCAGGTATCCAAGAGAGCAAATAACTTACTATCTACGTCTTACTGTGTTTACAAAGGAGAAGACAGAAACAACACTAAAAGAGCAAAATGTGAGCAAAGGCAGTTCAGTAGTGACTGACATTCCTGACGAAATAAGATGCCAAAATGTCCTGTTCCCGTAGAAATAGATACTTGAGCCAAAGCCGAAAAGTTAAACCGAGCTGTGCCTTTTCTCTTATAAACACCTATTTATAGCATTAGTTCTTTTGGCTTTTCCTACATAGAAATTAGCCATGTGTTGCTTTGTCCTGGGTTCGAGTTACTGGATCATAGCAGGATCAGTAACCACTTGAATAAAATCCTTCGTTATTTCTGCCCACTTAGTAATATTTGCAGGGAAACCGGATTCTGTCTTGATCTTTGTGCTTCATGCATAAACCTTTAAAGCATATAGTATGTGCAGGAGGGAGGCCCTGGGTTTGTTAGGCAGGCCTGATTTTAATGTAAATATGTTTTCCCATTGTCTGGATGTTGGTATTAAACATTTTATGTTTTTCTGATTATTGAGGTAATAAATATATCTTCATTATGTACAATTTGGAAAATTCAGAAAAGTTTGAAGTATCAAATTGAAATTATGTTCCTGCACTCTAGAGATCACTGCTATAGGTAACACTGTTATGTGTCACTTTCCAGTCTTTTATGTTTCTATATGATTGGAATCTTTATATGTAGTTTTTACGTTGCATTTTCATTTAACTTTATATTGTGAGCTTTTTCCATGTCATTTAAAATTATTTAAAAACATGATTTTTAATGACTAATATTTCACCATAAGTATGTGCCAGATTTTATTAAATTAAGTCCTTTATAAAATTAAGACACTGTCAAGGAACATGGTGTATCACTGTACTAACTAATAGTTACCAGGTTTTAGATATTTATCTTTTATCCAGTCACTTTATAGAAATATATTTAAAATTTGGGGGTGCTGTTTTTGTTGGTTTTGATAGACAGCCTTAATCATCTGCAAATAATAATTTTGTCTCCTTTCTAGTACCTGTAACTATTAGTTTTGCTTCATGTCTCATTTTACCAATGAGAATTTTAAGACCAATATTAAATAATGATGATAATTCTTGTTTAGCTCCTATTTTCAGTAAGAATGCCTCAGGTGGTGCTTCATTGTTGAGGACACGATTGCATATTGATCTGATAGGGTTTTTTAAAAAACCATATTAAGAAACTGCATTTATTTCAAGTTTATGTGGTTTTTAAAATCATAAATGTATATTGAATTTTATCAGATGTCTTTATACTATTTATAGAGATGATTGTATTATTATTCCTTATTTGACCTCTTGGACTATATTATACGAATTTCCTAATATTAAATCCTCCCTTACTATTCATTATTTAACAAATACTTGTTGAGTGCCTTCTATTTGCCAGGCACTGTTCTAACTGCTGCAGAATCAGTGGAGAACAACATAGATAAGATTGCTGCGCCTGCTTTTGTTCTTGCTTCTGTGCTTTTTGGTACTATATGCCTATAGTGAATTAATTCTTTCTATGAAATGTGAATACCCTTTATGTGCTCGGCACTGTGCTAGGCTCTAGGGATGTCTCAGAAAGCGACATAGTCATGTTATACCATCAGTCAGTACAGAACAACAGACAACACAGTTGCAGTTTTGATAAATGCTCTCAAGGAGAAATAGAGTTTATAAGAGAGTGAACTAAATTAGGTGGTGTGGTCAGGGAAGGCCTCTTTAAGTGACATTTAAATTGAGACCAGAGGGGCTAAGTAAGACAGAGGTAAAAATAGGGGAGAGAAAAGTAAATGGAACTACATGTGTAAAGGCCCCCAAATTGGGGAAGTAGCTTGACACATTCTTTGAAGTGAAAGAAGGCCAGGGTGATTGGAACAAGGCTTAGGGATCAAGTTAGGATGGGCTAAGGCCAGAGCCAGTAAGATCTTATAAGCCATGTTAAGGAATCTAGATTTTTACATTTTAAAAATGGGAAGAATATGAAGGATTTTATGCCAGGGTGTCATCATTTGCATGGAACCCAGTTAGGAGGCTGTTGTAGGAGTTTAAGCTAGAGGAGCATCTGGGTGGCTCAGTCAGTTGGGCGTCAGACCCTTGATTTGGGCTCAGTTTGTGCTCTCAGTGTCATGGGATCTGGCTGAGTGGGCTCCGCAGGGAGTCTACTGGAGATTCTCTCTCTCCCTCTCCCTCTGCCCCTCCTCCCCCTGTCCCCCGGCTTATGTACACACTCTCTCTAAAATAAAGCTTGGGGTCCCTGGGTGGCTCGGTTGGTTAAGCATCTGCCTTCAGCCCAGGTCATGATCCTGGGTCCTGGGATGGAGCCACACATTGGGCCCCTTGCTCAGCAGGGAGCCTGCTTCTCCCTTTCCCTCTGCCTGCTGCTCCTCCTGCTTGTGTTCTCTCTCTGTCAAATGAATAAATAAAATCTTTAAAAAAACTTTAAAAAAAAAGGATTTTAAGATCTAGAATATGAGCATGGTGGCAGTATAAATGGAGAGAAGTGGACAGATTTGATAAATGTTTTTGGAGATTAAATCAACAGAGATTGGTTTGGGCATAGGGAGTGAGTTGAAGAGAAGTGTCAAGGATGAATCTTAGGTTACTGGCATGAATGTGGATGATGGTACCATTTGCAAAAATAAGAACGTTGCGGAAGGATTAAGTTTTCCTTTGAGGGGGTGAATTCAGTTTTAGTTATGTTTAGTTTGAGATTTCTTTGAGACATTTGAGTGTAGGTGATAAATTGACAGTTGAATGTATGCATCTGAAGCTCAGAAGTAAGGTTTGGGCCACTAGCACATAGATGGTATTTGAAACCATGAGAGATGATGCGACTGGACATAGAGCTGTACTATCAAATATGGTAGTTACTAGTTACATGTACCTGTTTAAATTAATTAGAAATAAAATGAGAAGTTCATTTCTTCAGTCACACTACTAACATTTCAAGTACTCATTTGCCACATGTGATTATTGGTTACCGTATTGGACAATGCTGATAGAAAATGGGAAGAAAAGTTTTAGATTGAACTCTAAGGAACCCTGCTTTTAAAAGGGTAGATAGAGGAGGAAATACCTCAAAGGGTGCTAAAAAATCAGTGATCAGAGAGAGGCAAACTAGATGAGTATAGTATCAGAGAAGCCTTCTGAAAAGATTATTCAAGGACTGGTTAACTATTGATTTCTGCTGATAGGTCTAAATAAGATGACTGAAGAGGATCTGTTGGATTTAGCAATTTGGAGGTTATTGGTGACCTTAACAAAGATATTTTAAAAGGGTTGTGGGAGCCAAAGTCATACTGGAATGGATTAATGTGAGAAATAGGACGTGAGTAAGTAGTGACTGTGTTTTTTTTTTTTTTTTAAAGGCTTTGCTGTGAGGGATGCCGGGATGGCTCAGTCGTTTAAGCATCTGTCGTTTAAGCATCTGTCTTTGGCTCAGGTTATGATCCTGGGGTCCTGGGATTGAGCCCCACATCAGGCTTCTTGCTCAGCAGGGAGCCTGCTTTCCCCTGCGCCTGCTGCTCCCCCTCCTTGTTCTTTCTCTCTCTCTCTCTGACAAATAAATAAAATCTTAAAAAAAAAACTCTGTTGTGGAGAGGAGTGTAGAGATAGACTAGAGTTGGAGGGAAATACGGGGTCTAGGAAGGTTTTTTGTTGTTAAAATAGTGTCGTGCATAAACAATGAATTCTGGAACACTGAAAAGAAATAAAATAAAATGAAATGAAAAAAATAATAAAATATGATTTGGAATACAATTTAATGCTAATGGGAAGGCGCCTGTGAAAGAGGGAGGTTAAAGATATTCGGGGGAGGTTTCTGGGAAATGATCGTGCATATAAGGTTCCTGAGAGAATTGGAGGGATTATAATTCAAAGAGAAGGTGGCCTTTGATAGGAGGACTCCTCTTCCTCAGAATGGAAAGGAGAATTTGAGTACAAATACAGGTAGGTTTCCATGTGATGGCTTCCATTTTCTCTGAAGCATGAGGTGAAGCAATCCACTTGGAATGAGAGGGTTTGAGAAGAGGGGATCCAAAAATTAAGGATAATTGAGGAGGTGTGAAATGGTTGTCCCAGATAGTAGTGGGAGACTAGTTGACTGTGGAAACTTAGATGACTTCCTATCATAGAGGGCCCAGTTGGGGTTAGCAGTCATTTTATAATGGGGTGTGTGTGTGTGTTTGTTTATTCCCTCTGGAGTAAGACAGTTAGTTGGATTTCTGAGGGTTGAAAGTTAACCAGGTAGGAGGAACAGGATGGTGAGCAGTAGGTGCTGTGGAAGAACAGGGTGATAAGGCAGTTCTGGACTTTTGCAACAGGGTTTAATGATGACATCTGTTTGACAAAATAGAAAGTGAAAGCAGGAATTAGCGAATGGTAAGAAAGTAGAGAGGGGATCAGTTGGCTGGAGGTTCCCATATGAGCAAGTAAGCTGGAAATAACATGTCAGAATGGGATATTTCAATTAGAGATTTATGAGGTGATGGTTTCTATGATTAAAAGGTTCAGAGTATATCTGAGGGAAATCCCAGTAGGGACTGAAGGAGCAGGTGGCTGAGATGGTGAGCCAAAGTCATTGGATGAGGAAGTGGAAGATATTGACTGTGTTTTCTACACGAATTTGTAAGGAATCCAAATTTAAGGCAAGAGTTTGAGTGGAGAGAAAGTCTTAGGAGTTGGCTATTGAATCGTAGATTCAGAAGTTGTAGGGAGGATGGTACATGATCTCATAGAGGGAGGAGAGAAGGGAAGAAGTTGGTATAACCCAATGGGTGAACCTAAAAGGAAAAAGGATTTGTCCTGAGGGAGAAGAGGGAATCGTTTGGAGATGGCATTAGGACAAATAAGGACAGCAGTCTTAAATTCCATAGGGTATGAGAGACCATAAACAGCATCCAGGGACCAGCCACTTCACAGGTGACTCTTTGATTTTCAACTTGGATACACGTTAGAATCACTTGGAGAGTATTATAAAAACTACCAGTGCCTGAGCCTTACCCTCTGAGATTCTGCTTCATCGGGCTGGGGTGGGACCCAAATGTCCATTTTCTAAAAATGTCTCTGGTAATTCTAACGCAGCCATAATTGAGAATTGCTGAGAGATTGAGAGATTGTTGAGAGAATTACTGAGAACAGGGAGTGTTCAGAGAAGTTTGTTGATTATAGAGAAGCTAGGGGGTTTTGGAAAGAAAAATAGTAGAAGGTTGGGTCATGGGGTAATTTGTATTCTTTCCTATGCAACATGGTGAGAGAGTATCCAGTGTTATTTTGTAAGCAATTTCTGGAATTTTCTGTTAAATGAGTCAGTGTATTTTTTATATTTGCTAAAATATATCTTTCAAGGACTGTGGGAGAGAGATTATGTATTCTTGTTTAAGTTTATATCAGATAGAAACTTATTTTTTAATTTTCTTCTATTTTTTATATAAAGTATCCAAGAAAGGGAGGACTGTTTGTGACCCAAAGGAGTTTTTTCCCTCTATCTTCAAGGCTGTGATAATTGACAGCCTTTATTCATGCCCTTTGTTTTTTCTTCTCTTTATGGTAACACCCTCACTAATGTTATCTGTGGTTCACTTGGGTGCCTTCTTTCTCACATTTTTTTTATCTCTTTTCTTCTAATCACTAAATCTATGAAGATAGAAACATAAAGAAATGCAAAGGGAAGGGATTCAGAAGTGGATTTCCAACATAAGAAACTAGGATTTTCATTTCATTTTCTCATCATTTTCATTTACAAGTGTGAGGGAGTCTGGTTCAACAGTTGTCTATTAAATACCTTTCCTCTGTGAAGTCTGACAGCATTGTTGCCAGTAAAGTAACCAATCATCCTGGGTTGCCTGGGACTTTCCCAGTCTTAGCTTTGAAAGTCCTGAGTCCTGAGAAGCCCTTCAGTCCCAGACAACCCTAGGAGATCATCATAAGTGTTGTATTGGATTACCTGTATGTGTAGCCCCACTTCTTGCTGTCAAGGAACTTATGGTTTCCAGGGGCATGAGAAAGCAATATATGTACTAAATCAGTTAAAATAAGAATATAAACAAGCACATAGGTTTCCTGGATTAGCATATCCAGACGATTGATACATATGATAACTAGGGCATCAGAAAAAGGGAGACAGTATGTTATATACAAAAGAAACTAATGTCCTAGATCACTTTGCTGCTAATTATACTATTTTCCAATTGGCTATGCTTGAACCAGACCACTCCTGGTCATAGGTCATTATATTGCTTTTGTACATTTATTCAAAACATGCACTTTTTACTTGGGGTAATGAGGTATAGATGCTTCTTTTCATAATAATTCAAACCAATCCCACTATTCTTTTCTTTTTAAATTAGTTTGTAAATTCAATTGCCTAAGTACAGTCTATACCCAGGAGCAAACCATCTTGTTTTCTTTATTCCCTTTATGCTTCAGATACTCTTACTATATAATCTGGATTTGAAATGGTAGGAATTTCCAACTGGGAGATGGGAAGAGGGTGGTTGGGAAAGTGATCTTTTGTTAAAATTTGGTCCCTGCACTGACATTGGGGAGCTATATCAGAACATAGGAAAACTGTTTTTAGTATGAATCATATCACTATAATTGGCTGCTTATTGACACGGTTCATCAGCCCTTTAGATTTCCTCCCCATATTGTTCCCCCACCCACCCACCCAATTCCCTGATCCTATAGGCATGTTTCCTACATTAGAGGTCTTAGAATTTTTGTGATCTGGACCTTCTCCTGCTCAACTGATAAGTTGAGAGTATGACCCCAAGAAAGCATGTATTCCATAGTTAGATGTGTGTGGATTTCACTTCTTTTTAGGTGGCTGCAAAATTCGGATTCAGGGAGATCGGACCAGAGAGCGGCGCTTTGAAATCCCTGATGAGGAACACTGTCTGAAGTTCCTCTCGGAGGTCCTTGCTGCTCAGGAAGGTAAGTCAAGACTCAGAAGTTTTCTTTCTTCTCTTTGAATGGCAGTGAAATTCTGACATGCTGATGCAGAGGCAAGCAGCCATTAGCAAAGTACCTCACCCCTTCAGTCTTCAGTGCTGATGTTTCTGCTTTTAGGAATGAACCGAGGGTTAGGTTAGGGAACAAGTCTATTCAGCTATAAGGACACTGAGCCCTTTTCCAGAGTCTCAGTGTCACAGCATGGACAGCTAACTGAAGACTATCATCCTCCTTCTGCTCCCAGATGATCCCAGAGCTACCCTCACTCTCTTTGTCTCTTCCTTTATGTTTAAGAGTGCTGCTGGGTCCTGCATTTGAGGAGCGCTGAGTAAATTGCTTTTGATTATGATAAATCCCACTCAGTGAAGGGCTCCCCTGTTTCTGACCATGACTTTTATCTCTCTAGCTCAGTCACAACTTCTTGTTCCAGAGCAAAAGGACTCATCTAGCTGGTACCAGAAGTTAGACACTAAGGACAAACCTTCTGTTTTTTCAGGTACTGAAAAGATTCTCTTTTGCCTGGTTGCTATGATCACTGCAGAGTAAATAGGTTTCATCTGGACAGATAAGACAGTGTCAATCCCAGACACTTTCTGCTATGGAGTGGTTTTACTGAGTCCATGCCCATTGACTGATGTTCATTCTTGATCCTTTCTGTGGCATGTTAGCTCCTCGGGAGCCTGCTTAGCAGTGTGGTAAAAATTGCAGGCTCCAGGGCCAAACTGCTTGGGTTTAAACCCCAATTTTGGGACTTGATAGTTATGTATAACCTTGGTCAACTTACTCAACAATGCTGAGCTTCCATTTCTTTTTCTGTAACATGGGAAGATTTTTAATAGTACTGGCTTCATGGGTCTTTATGATAATTAAAGGAGATAATGATATAATCCCTTATATCAAACAGGCATTATGCTAAGTCTTTAGTAAATGTTAGCTATTAATATTCAGATTCCAAATTAATATAACTTGTTATTATTCTAATTAGTATGTCAAGTCTTTCAGGGTATCCCTGTGGTACCTCTCTATTTGGTAATGCCATTGAGCAAATAGTGATCAGATTAATACCACTGATCAAAGAAAAGCTCTATCCTGGATAAATGGATGTTATCTCTATTTTTTCCCCCTTTGACTTTGGGTTCTGTGTACTAGGGCTTCTTGGATTTGAGGATAATTTTTCATCTATGAATTTGGACAAGAAAATTAATTCACAAAATCATCCTACAGGGATTCATCGGGAACCCCCTCCACCACCCCCTTCAGTGAATAGAATGTAAGTCCTGTGTCAAAACATGTTTCCCATTTAGGAGACTTTTTTTTATTATAGGCAGTTTCATTTTTGAAATTCTCATTATTTGCTAGGCTTCCACGTGACAAAGAAGCTTCTAACAAGGAACAGCCCAAAGTGACCAACACTATGCGGAAGCTCTTTGTACCAAATACCCAGGCTGGACAGCGGGAGGGCCTCATCAAACATATCCTGGCAAAGCGAGAGAAAGAATATGTCAACATTCAGAATTTCAGGTTAGTCTCTCTTCTACTTACTGAGGTATGGCATACAAATGGCTATGTGTTTTTTAAGGTATTATTTTAATTAATAATTATTATTTTAATTTAATAAATTTTATTTATTAAACTTATTTTTATTTTAATTTAATAATAAAATTTTTAATTATTTTAATTAATAATCAAAGCATAATAAAAGGAATGGTCAGCTGGCTCAAGCCCCTGTCTCTATATTTGTCAATAACATAAATGTACAAAATAACACAAATGCTACAATTTCCCTTGCGTTTTCTAACTACTGATACTATGTCTACTAATGGTTCTAGCCACTCAGAACCAAACCAAACCAAAGAGAATTATCCCCTAGCACATTTCCTAAGCAAGTGTATTTATCTTTCTGTCCTGCTGAATTTTTTCTCACCAATATTAGAAGATCAATGTCTGCTCTTACCACTAGCTTAACTTACTTACTTTTGTAAGTTAAGTACAGAAAATTTCATCCAGTGCTCTTGATTGAGAGGTCTGTCTTGAATTCTTTCCTCTGTATCATATTTTTCACTTCACATTAACTTATTGGTATCTTTCTGGACCTAATGTGTGTGGTGTGGCCTAGCGTATATTACGCTGTGCAAAGCAGCAACACCTCTCTTTGTTGTTTGTGAACAACACGTACCCTTAATAGTCCAAGATTCTGGTCCCATCTGCTATCCCAGTGTGCCTCATTTGTCCTAATTCAATTATAACCATAATCCCTATGCTAAAACCTGTAGTTCCTCATATTCCCCATGATGCTTATTTTTGTGTGTAAATAGTTAAGACAGTTATATTCTGCTATCCCCCTTAATACTGTATCTGCCTCAACAGAATTTCCTACACAGATGTCTTGTAATCCTTCAGGAAGTGAGTTTTTGGATTCAGTTACAGCTCCTTATGGAACAGTTATCCACATTAGATGTATTTACAGCATGAAGATAACATTTTCCCATCCACAAGCTCTCCAAGTATAAGTTTGGGTGGAGTTTAATTGAAAGGAAATGTGGTAGAGCAATTAACTTTGCATTTTTAAAATAGAGACTTGGTTCCTTTCTGTGGGTTCACCTAATGTAAACTTTGTGTTCTACATGTGAAAGCATTTCTTATATGTATAGCAGAACATTTTGAGAAATTATGTTGGTTTATTGTGAACATACCCTTGTATGAAAATGATGAGAGAACTTCAATGGTTCATACTTAACCCTCGTTTTCAAATAATTTTTTGGTGCTGTGTATTAGATTTTTTGTTGGAACGTGGAACGTGAATGGCCAGTCTCCAGATAGTGAATTGGAACCTTGGCTGAACTGTGATTCAAATCCTCCTGATATCTACTGTATTGGGTAAAGAACACATCTGGAATTTCCTTTTGGCTATATATTTGGTATTAGTTTCCATGACATTTTGTCCTCCTTTTGCTTTTTTTTTTTAAAGATTTTATTTATTTATTTGACAGACAGAGATCATAAGTAGGCAGAGAGGCAGGCAGAGAGAGAGAGAGAAGGTGAAGCAGGCTCCCCACTACGCAGAGAGCCCAACACGGGGCTTGATCCCAGGACCTTGGGATCATGACCTGAGCTGAAGGCAGAGGCTTTAACCCACTGAGCCACCCAGGCACCCCCTCCTTTTGCTTTTTTAACTGTTTGGTAAAAACTCACCTTAGACTATATGTGAGAATTAACTTGTGGGTCAAATTTATGAGATAAGAAAGGAATGATACCTGAAATGATGAAAGGTAACATGTAGTCCTCTCAAAATGCAAAGAAAACTGCGTTCTTAATAGAAACAGACTTGAGGTCAAGTCCAACAGTGACTATTCCTAGAATATATAAACAAAGCTCCACTGTTGTCCCTTGTGGAGGTTTTTTGTTTTTTGTTTATGTTTTACATAGTCTTTGCGTATATTTTTTGGAGACAATACTGTTTTAATTTTTCTATGGAAGACAATGTCAGGTTTACAAAAGTAAAGATTAGTTTTTTTGACATTGATCTTTGACAAGATTCTTATGCATATTTTTTAAATTTATTTTTTAATTTTTTATTAACATATAATGTATTATTTGTTTCAGGGGTACAGGTCTGTGAATCATCAGTCTTACACAATTCACAGCACTCACCATAGCACATACCCTCCCTGATGTCCATAACCTAGCCACCCTACTCCCCCCACCCCCCACCAGCAACCCTCAGTTTGTTTCCTTTTTTTTTTAAGATTTTATTTATTTATTTGACAGAGAGAGATCACAAGTAGGCAGAGAGGCAGGCAGAGAGAAAGAGAGAGGAGGAAGCAGGCTCCCCGCTGAGCAGAGAGCCAGATGTGGGGCTCGATCCCAGGACCCTGAGATCATGACCCGAGCCAAAGGCAGAGGCTTAACCCACTGAGCCACCCAGGCGCCCCTGTTTCCTTTTTTAAAAAAGATTTTATTTATTTATTTGACAGGCAGAGATGACATGTAGGCAGAGGGGCTGGCAGAGAAGGGCGGGGAGGCAGGCTCCCTGCTGAGGAGAGAGGCGGCTGCCAGTGCGAGGCTCAATTCCAGGACCCTGAGATCGTGACCTGAGCTGAAGGCAGAGGGTTAACCTACTGAGCCACCCAGGCACCACTCTCAGTTTGTTTCCTGAGATTGAGTCTCTTATGGTTTGTGTCTCTCCCCGGTCCCCTCTTGTTTCATTTTTTTCCTCCCTTCACCCCACGACCCCCCCGCATATAGTTTTTTAAAAAAAGATTTATTATGGGAGAGAGAGTGCATAAGCCTGGGGAGGGGCAGGGAGAGGAACAGGGGGAGGGAGAATCTTTGAGCAGCCTAGCCACTGAGCAGGGATCCCAGGACCCTAAGATCATGAACTGAGCTGAAAGCAAAAGTCAGCTGCTCAACCAATTGAACCACCCAAGTGCCCCTGCCCCCTTTTTAAGATTTATTTTGCATAGCTGGTTCATATACTTCTAGAGGATCTTTTGAAAAAGAAAGCTGCTTGTCCTTACTGATCATCTGGATCAATAGAGCAGTTCTATAAAAATTTGTCTCTTTCCCCATTCCCTTTTCACCTAATGTCTTAGAAAATGGGAAAGGAGGTAGACAGAGATAATTATGGGAGTTGTATAGATCTCATGTCTTCTTGTTTTTTTCAGATTCCAAGAGCTGGACTTGAGCACAGAAGCCTTTTTCTACTTTGAATCTGTGAAAGAACAAGAGTGGTCCATGGCTGTGGAGAGAGGTTTGCATTCCAAAGCCAAGTATAAAAAAGTAAGCTGCATTTCATTTTCTTTTTTAATATACAACTGAATAGAACTCCCTATAAGTTATTCTGTTATCTATAACTTGTTCCAAAAGAATGGTTTAATTGGCTTTTTCCCTGAGTGTAATACTGCAATGGGGCAGACTAATTCTTTACACCTATTTTTCTAGAAAAAAATTTTCCTGAGCTTTCTGATCCTATGTTTTCATTATTTAGGTGGTTTTAAGAGAAAAGAAGAATTTTATTCTCAGAATGATAATTTGCTTAAAATAATTACTTGTAACAGTAAGAGTTTAAGATCAGAATTGTTCGCTGACATGGTCAGAACTGGATGTTTTATAGAAAAGGAGTTTGAAGAATGTGGGTGCATAGGGTATGCTGTGGAATCAGCAAGAAGTGTTATAGAATTTAAATGAGTTCTAAAATTTGTTATAAATCAAAAGTAGAGTTGACTTTAGCAAGGTAGGCCAATTTGTTGGTCTTTAGAAAGCAAGTGGTAGAGGCTACCAGAAGAGTTATTTTAATTATATGGCTACCATACAAGCCCTTTAAAAGCAGTCATCTGAATATTTTTCATTTACTTCTTCTGACAGTTGATATAGGTAGTAAAAATCCTGAAGGTGTTACTCCTCTCATATAGGTCACTGATTTAACACATATTTCAGACATATTTCTAGCTCTAGTTCTCAGACTAAAAATAATCAGAATAAAAAAGATTGCTCTTGGGTGCCTGGGTGGCTTAGTGGGTTAAAGCCTCTGCCTTTGGCTCAGGTCATGATCCCAGGGTCCTGGGATGGAGCCCCGCATCAGGCTCCCTGCTCAGCGGGGAGCCTGCTTCCTCCTCTCTCTCTCTCTGCCTGCCTCTCTGCCTACTTGTGATCTCTGTCAAATAAATAAAATCTTTAAAAAATAAAAAAAAATTTTAAAAAGATTGCTCTTTTATAAGTTTTAATTTCTTAAGAAATTGGAAATCAGAAACTAAGAAGGAGAAGCAAAAGGAACAAACTGGGATAGGGTTTTTTTATTTGATTTTTTTAATGCTATCAACTCCTGGTAGGTTTATAAGTGTTTAAAATAATGAATCCTAGAGCTGAGTGTACTTGATGTCCCCAGAGACTTTTAACTCCTGCTGGTCAGAGTCAGATAAGAGCTTGCCCAGAGAAATTTTGTTTCCTTTTTATGGGGTCCGCTGGGAAATTAGAGGATTTGGATTCATATTTGAGCATCATTAATATCTTCCTGGTGGAAAATCAGTTGTTGGGCAAGATGTGTGGCAAAGAGTGGTATTAACATGAACCTTTTCTAACTCCGTGGAACTTGTAGGTTCAACTAGTCCGCCTTGTTGGGATGATGCTCCTCATATTTGCCAGAAAGGACCAGTGGCGATATATCCGTGATGTTGCTACAGAAACAGTTGGAACCGGAATCATGGGGAAAATGGCAAGTTACTTTGGAAATGAGCTTGATTATTACTTATGTCCATTTAACGTTTAACTGTTAGTTGTGTCTTTGTACTAACTGTGAATAATTAATCTTGCTAACAGGGAAACAAAGGTGGGGTAGCTGTGAGATTTGTATTTCACAACACTACCTTTTGCATTGTCAACTCCCACCTGGCTGCCCACGTGGAGGACTTTGAGAGAAGGAATCAAGATTATAAGGACATCTGTGCACGTATGAGTTTTGTGGTCCCAAATCAGACCCTTCCACAGCTGAACATCATGAAACATGAGTGAGTGGTTCAGTCTCCTTTGCCTTTGAATAGTGGGGCTGAGAAGAGATTAAATGGATAGGAAACTGTGAAGAGTGAAGGATTACCATTTAGGGATTGGGGTCACAAAGAAGACAGGGTTTTTGAGGAATAGCAGATTCATTGAGGCAGAGAAATCAGATTTGCTATCAGAGGTAAGATTAGTTCTATTAGTGGCCATATAAGAGTAATGCTGGAGGTGTCTGTCAGTTGGAGTCAGTTTTTATTGTGTTTTATTATAAAATAGAAATGTTCATTGTAAATATAATTAAAGAAAATTAAAAGTAGAAATCACTCTGCTCTCCCAGACAGTCTCTCAGAGGATACTGATATTAACATTTCACTGTGTATCCTGGAACTATGCTGTCCATTGTGACAGCCAGCCATAAGTGGCTATTGGACAATTGGAAGTAGTTAGACCAAATTGAGATTGCTGTAAACATAAACTGTACGTGGATTTCAGAGACTTAGTGGGAAAAATGTAAAATACCTCGGTTTTTCAATATTGATTACATGTTGAAATGATAATCTGGATATATTGACTTAAAGGAAATTTATTGTTAAAGTTATTTTTACTTGTTTCTTTTACTTTTTAAATGCAGCTACTAAAAAATTTAAAATTACATCTGTGATATGCGTTTTATTTCCTGTGAATAGTGCTATTCTAGAGCTTTCTCTATATGCATACAAACACATGCACACTTATTACATAGGACTATATCGTCCTATTATTGTGGGTCTCTTTCCAAGCCAGTGTGTGTGTGTGTGTGTGTCTGTGTATTACATTACCCATATTAATGTATATATTTTGTATATACTGTATATATATGTATATGTATGTTCTTATTAGTGGCTGTGAATCATTAAGAATAGGGGCAATGGAGATTTAGACAACAGTGGGTCAATATAATAATATGGGAGAAAGGTTCATGGAGAATAGGGCTTAAGGATAGAAGCAGAAATCAGTTGAGGGATGGATTGGGTGGTAGGAAATGAATGATTGTCAAGAAATTAATAATGGTAATTGAAATTCTGAGAGTGGTTTGAGATGGGAATTAGTAGGAAAACAAAGGATAATTTAGGATATTAGCATCAACAGAGTGGGGTAATTGAGGAAAGAATAGGGAAGGGTAGTGATATTAGCCTGTTTCCATATTATCTTAACAATTAGGATCATATACAATTCTGTATCATGGTAGTAAAAAGTCAAGGCCTGGACATTAATAAACAGTTGCCCTGGGGCACCTGGGTGGCTCAGTGGGTTAAGCCTCTGCCTTCGGCTCAGGTCATGGTCCCAGGGTCCTGGGATCAAGCCCCACATGGGGCTTTCTGCTCAGCAGGGAGCCTGCTTTCTCCCTCTTTCTCTGCCTGCCTCTCTGCCTACTTGTGATCTCTGTCTGTCAAATAAATAAATAAAATCTTTTTTTTTTTTTTAAATAAATAAAATCTTAAAAAAATAAAAAACAGTTGCCCTGAAATTCCTTAAATTTGTTTCCTCAGAATTCCAGAAATTTCGTGTTGCATTTAAGATTTCCAAAGAGACCCCATTCAGGACTTGGGATAGCTCACAAGGAGAATCCCTTTTAGTGTAGTAATTTCAGGGTCTCCCCCTGGGGGCTCTCAGCACATGTAGGGGCCTGTTGCTGTGATTGGGAGCTTGAGAATCCTGTGGCAAGCCAGTCTTCCTCCTGTCTGCGACTTGGACTGTGGATCTGGGGCAGGGATAGGCAGGTTGGCTATAGTGGAGAGCTGTGGACCTACTTTTGCTAGGGTCCTGACTGGGAGAGCTATCATTCAGACCATGCAGACCTTAGCCTGCAGAATGTCAGGGCTCAGAGAGGCAGAAAATGTTCAGATTCTTTTTCCCTGGAGACCTGGCAGGCAGCCAGACAAAATTTTGGCACTAGTCCAGCAAATAAACTACATGCTTCTTTTAGGCAGTTAACTCCTTGACTTCTGAATCCCACACATAACACTGTATTTCCCTATCTTTGTTCTTCATGTATGGAATGCCTATCTTCCCGCCTGTTTGGTAATCCGTGGGCCTTCTCAGGTGTTGGTAGTACTTCCCTCTGAAGGATAAGTTGTAGCTTAAACCCTTTGTCTCAGGTAGTGATAAATGAATCCTTATCAATAATCTACCTAGTTTTTTTCTCTCCATTTTCTCTTTTTATGCTAATTATTGCTACTTCTATTTATGTATTTCTTGATCTTCAGTGTTGTCATCTGGTTGGGAGATTTGAACTATAGACTTTGTATGCCTGATGCCAATGAAGTGAAGAGTCTTATTAACAAGAATGACCTTCAGAGACTCTTGAAATTTGACCAGGTGAGTAAATTTTCATGTTATAGGTACTTTCCTAAATGGCAGACAGTATTGTTAGGTTTATGAGATATGTGTGTGGCAGGTGTGTCTTACTCTAGGAATAGATGGAAAGGTCTCATTGTCTTGAGAAAACACATGACTAGTAATACACACAAGGTTTGTAGTGCTTTTATGAAGTGCTTGGATAGGAACAGGAGAGATAAAAAGTAAATACAACATTTGTTCATTGTCTTTATCAAGAAGAGATTTCAGAGATTCATATAAATAAGGTGGAGAATGGCGGGGTTAATTGGAGAGTACTTCCTGGAGGAAGTGGGCCTTCAGCTATGTTGATGTGGTTTGGCAGATGGAACAGGGAAAGTTGCTGTGTGATTACTTGGCAGGCTTAGCAGCAGTGTGGAGGTAAAAGAGGGAGGCCCTGTGAGGAGATTGGGAAGAACGGAAGAGAAGTTTGGGATAAATAACACAGACTGTGGTCTAATGGGAACTGATTGAGAAGTTGGGGCTATCTGGCTTATCAATGTTAAAACCTGTAGGAAAAGCATTGATTCGGTAACATTTATATAAAACTGGATATTCAGGAACCTAGTTTTCTGTAAATTTGCCTTGGAACCTGGCACATGACTTGAATTTTTACTTCAGCTTCTGGATACTGGTTGCTAAAACTGAATGCTGCTTATGGAGGAAGAGAATGTTTTGATTTGATTTTAATGTCTTTAAATCCTTATGTAAGCCTTTTTGACCTTCAGACATAGTAAAAATTTAGGAGTTCTGTAGTTGAATGGTTTTTTTATAGTGAGCCTTTTTTTGGCTGTATCTTTCTTCATATTGAGGTTGGCTGGTGGATTTCTTTACATTTCTTCCTCTGTCATGCTTCCAAAGGGGTACAGTTGGAATAAATTCGGAATCTTATGTAATTCTGGTAAAGTATTTGAGTGAGGATAACTTTCAGAATGATCCGTAATGATTCACTGAATTTGGCTTTTGGAGTTATCCATTCCTTTGTGTGTATGTGTCCAAATTCACTGAATTTGGCTTTTGGAGTTATCCACACATTTGTGTGTATGTGTGTTTTTAAATTAAAATTTTGCTAGATGGTTCCTGTCCCGTTTGGGAGAACTCTAGATTATTCATATTTCATTTTGCCATTCTACCCGATGACTGTTAGCAATAAAAAATTAGCAATGTATTCATAATAAGCATCCTATCTGTGGGTGAGTTTAGATGCTATGGGAATGGCAAGATTTTAATTTACAAGGTACAGAAATTTCATTTATGTATCTGATAGTTGGAAAGGCTGTGGAACTAGTCAGAAATGGATGATCAACCTGATTATCACTTGTATTAAGATGGTGTTACCCTGCTTATGTGATGCTTCTTTCCATCTCTAGCTAAATATTCAGCGCACACAGAAAAAAGCTTTTGCTGACTTCACCGAAGGTGAAATCAAATTTATCCCCACTTATAAGTATGACTCTAAAACAGACCGATGGGATTCCAGGTAAAGTAATAAGAGCCTCCTCCTGGAATGGGTTCAGGCTTGCTTTTATTTCTGTCTGACTACATTGGTGAAGGGCTAGGAATTTCTTCTATTACGCCAGAAGCAGATATAAAAACTTAATGGCTCAGTGCTATTACAGAAGAGTTTTTAATTCATGTGAACTTAAAGGTAAGCTTATCTGAAGAAAGTATTACTTCTGTGTCAGAGCTGTTCAAGTTTTATGGGCTGCCTGCAGTGCCTTATTTCTGTCATCTAAACAGACTTAGATTTTTACCTTCCTTATTCCACCCTTATTTCCTTACAGATTATCCTGTTCTGAATGGTTTTTTTTTTCCAAATTGTTTCTCAGCTCCTCAGCTCAGAACACCAGAAAGTGAACCATGATAGGTTCTTCCAACACAGTGGTTCTCAGCCCTGACTATCCATTAGAATCTCTTGGGGGGACTTCTAAAAATACTGATGCCTGGGCCCAACCTCGGCAACTGCCAGAGAAAGCTAAGAACCACTGTCTGGTGGGAGAGGGGAGCTTTGATTTCCTAATTCCCCCCAGTAAAGCGCCCCTGTCACTATGTTCCTGGTAACTGTCTTCTACCTGCTATCTCTTCGTTTCCTATCTGGCTGAGCCCAGAAGCTTGAGAGAGAAAATGCCTGGGCATATTCAGCTTCTGTAGACTCAGAGCACTAGGGTATGGTGGAGAGGAGTCTGTATCCTTGTGTCCTGAGGGAGCTGGTCAGCAAGTGAAAAGTGACACTGGCGGAGCTTATGCACTTCACCTTGTTTCTCCCCCTCCCCTGACTTGAGAGTCAATTGAAGAGCTACTGATAAGAACTTATTTGTGTCACTTCTGGATCAGGTGTACAAGGTGTTGCTTATTTTACTATAATGACGAATAGGTTTTGTCCCTAACCTTAGTAATCTGTGGGCTGTTAAATGTTCAGACTTGCATGCTTAGTTAGTTCATCTCTATCTGAAGAAGCTAGACTTTCATGAAAGTCTAGGTTTAAAGGAGAAATCTCTACTATTATTTATCTCCAGAAATTAAGCCCAGTCTTGGAATATAGGATTGGATTTTTAGATTTTTATTAGTTGTCTGTCTCTGTGAAATGTCATTGCAGTTCATCGAGCAAAGTGCTGAATATAGTCCTGACCTTCTGAGGATATTTTAAGAAGAGGTTATTATATTTTCCCCTGGGACAGTGTTGTTGAAGTTGTAATGTGAATTTGGGGAGCACTGTTTATTCATTCATTAAACAACTATTCATTGAACACCTACTTTGCACAAGATAATGTGCTAGAGGTTGGGAATTCAGTGGCAAACAAGCAGACACAGGCCCTTTACAGAGCTTGAATATAGGGAATATTATATAGGGAATATAGGGAATATTAGAGTTGGGATCATTAGGAAAGGAGAAGCATATAAAAAAGGACCTAACCCAGGTCTGAACTAGTATGGTATGTATTACATTATTGTGTGGTATGTTCCCTTTAAATGTCTTTCTTTATTTGCAGTGGGAAATGTCGGGTTCCAGCCTGGTGTGACCGGATTCTTTGGAGAGGAACAAATGTTAATCAGCTTCATTACCGGAGTCATATGGAACTAAAAACCAGTGACCACAAGCCTGTTAGCGCCCTCTTCCATATTGGGGTAAACACTTGTTTGTTCTTTTATTTGTGTGTGTGTGTGTGTGTGTGTGTGTGTGTGTGTTAGGTATTCTTAGAACATCGTTTAGACTCAAAACAGTTCAGTAGTTCAGTGAGCCCTAAATGTTACCATAACCAAATAATCATTTGCAACATTGAGAAATTAGTGCCCTCAATCCTCCTAAATGCTGTCCATATGCTTTTTAATGTGCTAGGCCTTTTAGTGACACAGATGTTTTTTATGCTGCATAATGGCTGGATGGTAACCTTAGACTCCTACTAAAGTTGTTATACATAAGGAAGAATTGGAAGCTACGTTTTAAAGGATGAGTAGCCTCTCATCAGATAAAAAGGAAGGGAAGCCCTGGGAGAGAGGTTCCAGGTGAAGGGGTGGGGACAGCAGGAGCAAAGGCATTTGACTGGGTGGCATACAACCACTTCTGTATCTTACCTTAAAAGTCATGTTGTCAGCCATACTATTAGTGAAATTTGCTGTCCAGGAGCACAAGTTTTAAATTTTTTAAAAGATTTATTTATTTATCTTAGAGAAAAAGAGAGCATGAGCAGGAGGGGCAGAGGGAGAGAGAGAGAGAGAGAAAGAATCCCAAGCAGATCCCATGCCAAGTGTGTGGAGTCCGGTATGGGCCTCTATCCCAGGACCCAAGATCATGACCTGAGCGGAAACCAAGAGTCAGACACTTAACCGACTCTACCACCCAGGCGCCCCCAGGAGCACAAGTTTTAAAATTTTTCTTTAACTGTTGCATCCTGGGCTGGATTGATGGCCAGTTATTTAATTTTTTGTCTCTGATGTGAGTAGTTTTTGTTTTCACTTGTATATTTTAGCTGCATGTTAATGGTATGTAGGTTATGTCTTAGGATCTTACTGATTTATTACAGCTAGTACATTTAGATTATTTCTTGTAGATTTTCCAGACCTCCAGTCCTGTAATCTGTCAGAATCTATAAAGTGCAGTGCTTGATAGGGTGGACTTTAGAGATAGACTGCTTAGATTTGCATCCCAGTTCAACAACTTTCTAACTCTGTAACCCTGGAAAACATATGTAACAGCCCTGTGCCTCAGTTTCCTCCTTTATAAAATGGAGATAACAATGGTACTTACTTATGAGGATTGATGAGGTGAGACATGTGAAGAACATAATAGATGGATATTTGATTCTTTTGGCTTTTCAGATTATCACCAACATGTCTTGTCCTACTCCTGTCTTAAAGGGGAATGACTTTGGGGTATTTCCTTTATTTATAGAATTAGTTCTTAGTCTCAGAACAGAATCTAAATTTTATCAAGGCAGTTGTGACTTGAGTTTTGTCCATTTTGAAATTTTAAAATAATAGTAAGTATTTCTCAAATAGTAACTAGTATGTGCCAGGGACTGTAAAGAAAAATTTATACACATCTCATTTACTCCTCACAACAGTACTTTGAGTTAAATATTTCTCATTTAACAGATGAGCAAATGGAGAACTGATGAGATTAAGTAACTTCTTTACATGCATTCAACTAGAAGGAGAGCTAAGATTCAAATCTTGTCTGTTTAACTCCCAATCCTATAGGTGGTCTTTCCACTAACCCCATAATGCTTCTATAATTCCAAAGAACTTATTAACTAGATAAACCTTTAGATAACTACTTTTACCCCACCTAATTTCTTGTTTGTACTTGTGGTCTGCCCTGTTTTCTTCATTTTAATTCTCTTAAACCATTTTTTAAGATATTATTTATTTGACACAGAGAGACAACAAGAAAGGGAATAGGAGAGGGAGAGAGAGAAAGAAGCAGGCTCCCTGTGAGCAGGGAGCCCTATGTGAGGCTTGATCCCAGGACCCTGGGATCATGACCTGAGCCAAGAAGGCAGACGCTTAACTACTGAGGCACCCAGTTGCCCTCCCTCTCTTGATCCATTTTTAAAAGGATGTCATTCCCCAGACACTAACCTTTTTGGTTTAATCAGCTATGCTTGGCTTTTTTGTTTGTATTTCTTTTCAGAACTTTGGAATATTTGTAATATTCTACACATATTAATCCAGAGCTCCCAGCAGGATATTTAAAAATTTTCCATGCTTCTTGTGTATTTTTGTGTATCTTTAATAAAGGTCTACCTTTCTAGTTTTTAATACTAGTTAAATTGCACAGGAATTCAAAAGTGCTTTTTCTTTAAAATAAAAAAAATATATAAGCAAAATTTACAGATAAGTCTGGAGTTGTTCAATCCCTGTTCTATCCCGCACTCCCACCTTTGCCCAAAAGCCCCACTTCCCAGCCAGGCCAACTACCATTATGAATTTATATCTTTATAGACCACAGTCCAGTAGGTGTTTCTGTGATGATGGAAATGTTATAGATCTATACTGTCCAGTACAGTACTGCTAACTTTAGGTGGCTCTGGATCATTTGAAGCGTGGCTAGTATGATTGAGAGAGCTGAATTTTCTGTTTTATTTAATTTGAAGTAATGTATATTTAAATGTCCGAATGTGGCTTTTGGCTATTATCTTGAACAGCACAGTTCTAGACTTTTGCATATGTTTTTCTGTTGACCCATATACAATAGAGTATTTTTCTATGTGTTGGTGCAAATATTATAGATGGTCTCATACTGTATGTGTTAGTCTGCAACTTGCTTTTTAAAAAAAAAAAATCAGTAGTGTGTCTTGGAGAGCTACCCATGTCACTACAGAAAGATCTTGCTCATTGATCATCTAGCTCATTCTTAATTCCTAATTTTGTTGGTAATTCCTTTTCTAAAGTGGGTATATCAGGTGGTGATTACATTCTATGTTTTCTTCCCCTTCATTATCCTTGATGTGCCATTAAGGGTTATGATCATGATAACCCACTGAGGAAAGATTTTAAATTTCCTTTAGTAACCACCCCATATTTTGGTTTCTTGGGGATGCTATGATTAGAGGCCTTAAAAAACACATTATATTTTTACCACCATTGTCATCAGTGACTGTTAACAAAGGAACCAAGTGCTCAATGGCAAGTTAACTTTAGAAGACTTGCTGTGGGCTGGCTGAGATTAGGCTGAGATTGGGTTTTCACCCTGGTACTTGGTAATGGGATCTATTGCATTAGTTCTGACTTTGGTGGACATAGAAATTGCATAGAGAGCTTTTAAAAACTGCAGTAGGCCAAGGCATCTGTATTTTTAAGACCTACCTGAATTAATCCTGTTGTGTAGCTGGTATTTTGGAAAGGGTCTTTGCAGTAGAGGTCCATATACAACTTCTGGTATTAACTGTGGCAGGGAGCAACTTAGTTGATCTTTTTGTATCTCGATCTATTCAATGATCAGAAGAATAATACTTGCTTGGGTAGCTTTGCAGGTTATTGTGAAAAGAGAGACATGTAAAATACCTTATAAAAAACAAGTTGCAAAATTTTATAAAAATATTTTAAAAGTATAAAATTTCTCCTAACCTAACACTGTAGTGTGGACTCTGGTGACACTAGTGATTGCCTGCTCCTCAGTTTTCTAAGTGTTATGGTTTAGATACATAAAACCTTCCCAGTCTTTGAGATATTTGGCTCAGCTTTGATGCTCTTATTTTCCACATTTGATTTATAACTTCTTCTACATGCATCAGTCCTTTTTTTTTTTGACGTTGAATTTGTGAAGTTTCCTATTCTAAAAAGAAACTGGGACTTCAGTAAGTTAAAATGCTATGTTAATTATGTTCATTTTTGGCATTGATTTGTATGAAGTTTTAATAGTGAAAAAAAAACACAGCTATATCAGGAAGCCTGAATGTGCTATGGGAGATGTTTTTTGATCTATTAGTTGAAATGATTTGTTTGTACATTGTCATGCTTTTCCTCTAATCTAGGGCATTTTGTATTGGCTATTTTCTAAAATGGCCATAGGATCTATTTACTGACATGCCTTTGTCATTATATAATCTGTGTGTTGACGTTATTATTCTTGGCATTGTGCATAGCAGCTAATATAATTAAATGGTTTAATTATTTTTTCCGCTGTTTTAATGCTTTGTGATCATTAATAGAAACAGTACTTAGGTATGTTTTGACACTTATTTTGTGCAATGCAAGAAATAATTTCTACCACAATTGTCACATTTCCCCCACCACCAAATAACAGTGGAGCAAGAAAATGTTCTTCCCAAACATTACTGCCAAGCTTCTTAGTACAGAGGTTTGACTTTTCCAGGAAATTAACCAATTAGCCATACCTTTACCATAAAGTGGGTATGCTGTAATGCTTATTTTAATTTATATTTGTTTTAGTGACAAATTTTAAAAAGGACTCTTAGAGATTCAAGCTGAGAGCACACAAGACTAAAATAAGATCTGTTTTCTTTGAGGTAAAAGTTGTGGATGGAGCGATATTTCAGAAAGTGTTTGAGGATGTTGTTTGCACCACAGTTTATTTTAAATGATTGCTGTAACAACCCATTTTAAATTATTAGGTAATCTCAAGGGAAGATGAGCTCAGAGCATGTAAGACTGAAAAGAGGGTTTGTTTTCTTTCAGGTGAAGGTTGTGGATGAACGGAGGTATCGGAAAGTGTTTGAAGATATTGTACGGATTATGGACAGGATGGAAAATGACTTCCTTCCTTCCTTAGAACTCAGCAGGAGGGAGGTGAGCAAAAATACATGGCTTCCCTATCTACTGCCCATTGTGGTTAGTCTGGGGGATACCATGTTTGGTAGAGGAGGCAGCACAGCAAAGTGGTAAAAACCGTGTGTGCTAGAGTCAAACTGCCTCCAGTGATACAAGCACTGTCATTTAGAGGCACTTGTGTAACTCTCTGAGAGCCACAGTTTCCTTTTCTGGTTAAAGGGGTGGTTGTGAGGATTACACGAGTTAACATGTGTGAAGCTCTTAAAACAGCTCCTGGCATGAAGTACACCCTCAGATGTTAGCTGCTCTTATTTAATATTTCAGAGTTGCTGGTTAATTCATATGTCAGGAACCAGGGCTTACTTGGTCACGGGATGGATGTCCTGACCCAAGGTTGGGTTACCCTCTTAGGTTCTCAGGAACCATTAGAGTAGCCTAGAGAAGTGGCAAGAGCTGTGTAATTCCTCCTCTGCTGGCGTGAATACAACAGGAAATGAGAGGGCATCGTGTCCAGCTGGCTCAGCTGGTGAATGCATACAGCAGTTGCACACCTGGTTCATAATTACTTTATTCTTTATTCATATTCTCTATGGAATAATCCAACTGACATACTCCCCCTACTAGTGATGCATGTTTGTGTCTGTCTGTTATTCCCCAGTTTGTGTTTGAGAATGTGAAGTTTCGGCAACTACAAAAGGAGAAGTTCCAGATCAGCAACAATGGCCAGGTTCCCTGCCATTTTTCTTTCATCCCTAAACTTAATGACAGCCAGTACTGCAAGCCATGGCTTCGGGCTGAACCTTTTGAGGGCTACTTGGAGCCAAGTGAGTTGTCCCTTTCCCATTGTCTCTGTTTGCAATGTATCATCTCCCCATGACTCCCATGCCTCCCTTTGTTTAACTTCTTGTTTTCTAACCACATGTCTCTTACCTTCACTGTCATTATACTGGGGAGACCTCTTTTGTGTGTCCAGTGTCTCCTCCATCACTTGGTGATTTTTTAGAGGACACTACTTCTGTTGGTTCTCATCTCCCTTTTGCTCTTCCATCAGAAATTTCTGTTACCATGTGTCATTTCTTAAATTTCAGATGAGACAGTGGACATTTCCCTTGATGTGTATGTCAGCAAAGACTCTGTGACCATCCTGAATTCAGGGGAAGATAAGATTGAAGATATTCTAGTCCTTCACCTGGATCGAGGCAAAGATTACTTCTTGACCATTAGTGGAAATTACCTCCCAAGTTGTTTTGGTACATCCTTAGAGGCTTTGTGCCGAATGAAAAGACCAATCCGAGAAGTTCCCGTCACCAAACTCATAGACTTGGTAAGAAACATTCTAAGATATGGAACCTCCTCTAGATGTAATTTTCGTAATACTTAAGGGATATCCTCATTGTCTCTGTGCTTTCTCTTTGGTCGGGGTTGCTGGAATTGTCAGTTGATAAATAAGAGCAAGAATGTCACTTTACTCTGGCACTACTTGCGTTAGGTTAAGCCTAAAAGGAAAGCGAAGAGAGCAATCAGTAATTGGCTCTCGTCAGGAATATAATATGTAATACTAAGTTCACTGAATTAGATTAAAGGCTCCCTTCTCAAAGATCTAATGCTTAATTGTTATGCTCTTCCTACTCCAAGTTACTCTTGTATACATTAGCATGTATGCAAGATATAGTAATTGGGGGCAGCAGTATTACCCTCATTAAACACATGAGAAAGCCGAGGCACAAAGACAAGAACTTGCCCAAAATGGAATAAGTTAGTGACAAGTCTGTCCCCCAGACTTTTTGATTCTTAGTCTAATAACTCCTCACTGTATCATCATATCTAATCCCAAACTTGGCTGCGGGTTGCAGCCCAGACCTATAAGTGAACTTCAGAGTACCTGCTTCAGAATCTTGCAGGGGTCCTTGAACAAGTACACATTCTCTCCCCACCCCCACTCATCTCTGGCAATAGAATCACAGTCCCAGGGCGCAGGGCTTAGGAACCTGCATTTTATCAGCATTCTGGATGATTATAATGTACCCTGGAGTTTGCGGCATGTTTATTGGAACACACTTAACAAAGGGAAGGAGTAGGATTTCCCCTCCCTGATTCCAAGCTCTAATATCAGTTTCCTTATGGAAGAAACGCTTATCTTCAGTAACATAAACTGATTTAGTAACAGGTTCATCCTATTAAGAACTTTTCTTCTAAATGAAAATATTCCTGTACCTGAAGAGTGCAGACCTCTTTGGGCTATAAAAGCATACTTTTGGTCTTTTACCGAAGAAAATGAGGTGATGTGACAGCCATACTTTATCATTTCTATTGGTAATCATGTTGATCCTTTCAGCCTCGCCAGAGCAGTGATTTTTATCATCTAGCAAGGAGGGCCAGACCAGCGGGCAGGCTGCTGGCTTGTCTGAGTGTGATCTCTTCTGTTGCCATAGAATTGTTTTAGCTATGACTCAGATGGTAGATTAAAACACTTGAGTCCAGTCCCAGCATTCTTTCTTGGAATTATACTTGTTTCCCTAGAGCCCTCATGACTGGGTGTATTACCTCTGTTTGAGAGAGAACCATTTTCTTCAGAAATTCACATCCTTACATTCTGTTATTTCTTACAATACTTGTTTTCTCTTTTACCACTATATTCTGTCTTTCAAATTTAGTATTTCACCATTTAGGATATATTCCAAATGAAGTTTCTCCTTTTTTCCCTGCCCCCTTCCCTCCATCCCAAACACCATTTCCCAGCTTTCTTTTTCCCAACTTTTAATTATGAAAGTGACAAATATGCAAAAAAATGGAAAGAACAATACAGTGAACACTCACATTCCTTATAGATATAGATCTGTATTTTTTCTTTTCTGCCGTACCATTTGGAATGAAGTAGTGATGTGTCACTTTACTGGTGAACACGTTAGCCTGCCTCTTAAGAAAAAAGACAATTTCTTTATAAGCACAATACCATTATTATGCCTAAGAAAACGAGCCACTCCACATTTCAGTTTCTCCAGTTGTCTCAAGAATTTTTTGGTAGCTTTTGAAGCCAGAATCTCATCTGGGTTCGTATAATACCTTTGGTGATGTCTCTGCAGTCTCTTTTATTTATTTATTTATTTATTTATTTATTTATTTATTTTATTATTTTTTTTTAAAGATTTTTTATTTATTTATTTGACAGATCACAAGTAGGCAGAGAGAGAGAGGAGGAAGCAGGCTCCCTGCTGAGCAGAGAGCCCGATGCGGGGCTCGATCCCAAGTCCCTGGGATCATGACCTGAGCTGAAGGCAGAGGCTTTAGCCCACTGAGCCACCCAGGCGTCCCCTCTTTTATTTATTTTTTTAAAGATTTTATTTATTTATTTGAGAGAGAGAGAGCATGCACAAGTGGGGTAGGTGGGGGCAGAGGGAGAAGCAGACTCCCAGCTGAGCAGGGAACCCGACAGAGGCCTCCATCCCAGGACCCCCAGATCATGACCTGAGCTGAAGGCAGATTGTTTTTTTTTTAAGATTTTATTTATTTATTTGACAGACAGAGATCACAAGTAGGCAGAGAGGCAGGCAGAGACAGAGAGAGGGGGAAGCAGGTTCCCCACTGAGCAGAGAGCCTGCTGCGGTCTTGATCCCAGGACCCTGGGATCATGACCTGAGCCGAAGGCAGAGGCTTTAACCCACTGAGCCACCCAGGCACCCCAGATTGTTTGTTTGTTTTTTGTTTTTTAAAATATTTATTTATTTGACACAGAGCGAGACAGTGAAAAAGGGAACACAAGCAGCGGTGCTGGTGTTGGGGTGGGTAGAGGGAGAAGCAGGTTTCCCAGTGAGCACGAAGCCAGACCTGGGAGCATGACTTGAGCATAAGGCAGACACTTAACAGCTGAGCCACCTAGGCACCCCTGCAGTCTCTTTTAGAGTAAAACAGTTCTCCCCTTTTGTTTCTTTAATGACATTGACTTTTTTTAGAGTCCAGGACACTTGCCCAGTCAAGGATCCACCATTTCCTAAATTTGTCTGTTTCCTCTTGGTAACTGTTTAAATTTAATCCTTTCATACTTCCTCCTTTCACTTTATTTCCTATAATCCGGAAACTAGTTTTATTTTTGGTCCAAGTTGGCAGTGGCATTATGATACCCTTTATTGTAATTGTCCTGTTTTAAACAGAATGACTGGAAGGAGGCTCAACCAGCGTGAAAATGTTTTATTTTGTTTAAAATGTTATCAGGTAATTCATTGTTTGACCATGAATAAGTAGTAGCCAAAACCTTTAGTGGAGTTAATGGGTCTGTAGGAAGCCCTTTTCCTGCACAAATGATTCAAGGTTTAAAAAAATAGAACCCTGTTTATTTTTTCATTATGAAATTATGAAATTCTTATTAAATTATATGTGTGTGGTCCCTGTTTATTCTTTTAATTTTGTAATATAGGGTTCCTTTTTAAAAGATTTTATTTATTTATTTATTTGAGAGTGGGGACACAAAGGAGAGAGAGAGAAGCCAGCTCCCTGCTGAGCAGAAAGCCCGATGTGGGACTTGATCCCAGGACCCTGGGATCATGCATGACCTGAGCTGAAGGCAGAATATAGGGTTCTGATTTCCTTCCACAGCCTGTCACATTTCAGTATTATTAAATTCCTGTATCTCATTGATGATGAAGTTGTCCATATTAGTGTAGGGCAATAAACAAGAAATCTAAAATTATCTGTACCCCATTTGTAGTATATTCCCACTCTGTTTTGACTTGATTTTTTTTTAAAGATTTTATTTATTTATTTGACGGAGAGAGATCACAAGTAGACAGAGAGGCAGGCAAAGAGAGAGAGGGAAGCAAGCTCCCCGCCGAGCAGAGAGCCCAATGCAGGACTCGATCCCAGGACACTGAGATCATGACCCGAGCTGAAGGCAGCAGCTCAACCCACTGAGCCACCCAGGCGCCCTTGACTTGATTTTGACCTTCTGTAATGCTTTCTTATGTTTGTTCATATTTGTCCCAAGACCCAGAATGATATTTCAGATCCTGTGAGATGATGCTATTAATAATGATACCTATTATCCTCTATTATATTATTTACTTTAAAATTTTGGTGAAACCAGAAGTGAGTTCAGTGCCTATGTCGACTTTCCATGTACTATTTCAGAAAGATTGTTGTGCCACACCCTCTTCCTGCCAAATGTGGAGTGAAATAACTGGCACAAGTCCTTTTCATTCTTCTTGCCCTTCTCAATGACAGTGACTTTGCCCCTACTAGCATAGTTGGAATTAGCACAAATGGCAAACAGAGGAGAATTTATTTGTAATTTTCTTTATTCTTTTCCAGAATAAAGATAGATTTTTTTCTGGCTTATTAACTAGCATATTAACTAGCTTGGAGTAATCAATATTTATTCATTACGCATTGAATACAAAGTATTATGGAGTTTATGCAGGGACTGTAATTTAGTGGTGATGAAAGTTTGCTTATGTATACAATATGGCTAAATTCTAAATCGAAGTTAATAGGGAATTTGGTTAAAGGTAATCTAAACATTAACTACCTTTACTAGCTGATGTCCAATGTGTTTGGTAAATCAATATTTTGGAAAGGCATTTAGAATGAGAGTTGTGGAGCTTGTAATTTGTATTAATAGATTCCTGTGCCATTTACTCAAGCCTTATATGCTATAAAAGCTTATTGATTGACCAGCTAATTTCTATGAAGATCAATGTCAGAACCAGACTATTTTGGCTTTTTGAAAATTTGCTTTATGTAACATTAACATAACTAGAAACAAATTCAGCACATAAGAATAAAGTGGACTAGAAAAGTGATTTGGGGTTCATCATGGATGTATTTTGAGTCAAGTCCAAGTACTAAAGAAATATGTATTAACGTATTGGGTGAGCATGTTCTTCCAGGTATAAGGGACATGATGAATAAATGTTAGAAGGTGAAAACAAAAAGACCATATATGAAAAATAGTAAGATTTCCCTAGGAAGAGTGAGGATTAAAGAAAAGAATATGTGAGGCTGTTAGGGTGGTTTGAGAGCAGGGGATAGAGTCTCAAAGTCAACAGATGAGTTTGTGCTGGAGCCACAGGGCATCTACAACTATCAGAAGCCTTTTATGAGTAGTATGAGGTTGTAAGTTGACATATTTTGAGGAATCGTCTGGTGTTGCTTATAGATTGCACTAATGGAGAGACCAGGTTTGAACTTAGCAGATCTGGTTAAAGGTGTTGCTGGTAGACAGAGAGACAAGAAAGGTTGAAGGATGGGTGGACAGACTGTATTTGCTTGGGGACATGTTTATTTGGAGAACTGTATCAAAGTTTGAAATAACAACAATAATAGCTTGGTAATTAATTTGTCCCTAGTGATCTTTTCACTAGGTGTTTATTTCATCTTACTGATCCAACCACTCATTTCTTATCCTGTTAGGTATATGGTTTGTGTTTCTTCTCTTTATAGTTTATAGGAACTGATCCTTTCTAGAACTTTGATATCCATTCACTTTTCTGCTTTTTATTTTTAAATTTGAATCTGCCTCTAAGTGACTCTTTTACATTATTTTAACTGCATTTACTACTGGCAAAATTCCTCTATGGGTGAATGTTGGAGTGAATAATGATTTGCACTGCATTTGTAACATGCCATGGTTGCCCCACTGGGGAATCCTGAATTAGGTTCCTTTTTTAAATGTGAGCAACACACAGCCTTTTGCAGAGAGTGGGCAGGTCAGTTGAACCAAGTGATTATCAGCAACCTTAGGACTACCTTAGGAGTGTGCTGTTTATGAGTGGAGGCTAAGTGGTGTTTCTATTTTCAGAATCAATCCTAGTGTTAAGATAAATGTTATTTACATCTACTATATGCCTATAGCCAGAGAAGTAAACTCTCAGTGTAAATGTGCTGCTTTTCCACCATTATCTAATCAAAGTCCTTTTGATTCTTCTTTCAGAATTTTCTCTTTAATCCATTCATTTAAAAAATATATTATTTTCCCATTGTTAAAGTGTTTACTTCTTTTTGACCTACCTTGATAGCCTTTTAAGAATTCCCTTGGCCTTGGGACGTCCAGGTGGCTCTGTTGGTTGAGTGGCTGCCTTCAGCTCAGATCTTGATGCCAGGGTCCTGGGATCTAGTCCTGCATTGGGCTCCCTGCTCAGCAGGAGCCTGCTTCTCCCTCTGCCTGCTGCTCCCCCTGCTTGTGTGTTCTCTCTCACTCGGTCTTTTAAAAAATAACAACAAAACCAATTCCCTTTGCCCCTATCACTACCCTTTCATTTTTCCTATTCAGGGCTGTCAGACTGATCTTCCTGTAATACAGCTTTGGGGCCTATGACTTCCTTAAAGGTAGTCAGCAGCTTGCTTATGCCTGCTAAATATAATCCATATTGCTTTACCTGTCATTCAAGTTCCCCCAAAGTCTGACTTCAACATTGCTTTTCATATTTATTTCCCACTACTTTTCTCAGCATCCCCCCATGCTTCCTGCAGAACAGATGACCGACTTTTCCCTACTTTCACCTTGGGATTTACCTTCTCTGAACCTGTGTTTATCTTTGCCTCTTCCACTTGCAGTGTCCCAACCCCACCTGCACTCTTTAAAATCCTATGAATCTTTTAAGGGCTAGTTATGTCCCATCTCCATTGTAACAAGTCCCCTGATCGCCCCATCTGAAAGCTATCTCCTTGCTTTGAACCCCTGTTTTGTTTGTTTTTCCTATTAACCGTTTATTGAGAACCCATATTTGTGAATTATAACAATATCAGGCTATAAATTCTGGGACTTCTTACCCCAACTCAATTGCAAACCCAAGTCAGAGACTATATCGTTTTCTTCTGTATAGCCTCATTTTTCATCCTCCCCCGCCCCCACCACCACTCCCCAAAGACATGCATTGTACTAGTAGATGGTCACTGCTTGGAGAAAACCTCTCTGAGGGCCTGATTTAACAGGTTAGTATATGAAAACTGCCTAGTTTTACTCAACATGTCATGTGGCATGTATTCATGGGAGGAAAAATAGAGAAGTCTGTTAGGCAGGTTTTACAATTTCTTAATAAATAGTCCTAAATTTTTTAAAAAGGTTGTTCTCCAAAATTGTGTTAAATTGGCTATTTGGCACTCAGAATTTAACTTTTAAATTAAAAAATATTGTAATTAGAATACTATAAATATCATATATTTTATGAAGCAATATTACTCTGATTATTTTTATCTCATATGTGGTATTTAGAAGTATAGGTAAACCTACAAGAGCCTGTTTAATTCATAATGTATCTAATAATACTAAAATATCTACCCACCATATCTGTAATAGTCATTTGGGGGAAATGCACTTAACATTGCTATTTGGAACAGGGAACACATACTCTCCCGCCTCCAGCCTCCTGCACATCTTTCATAGTAAGATCAGGACTTCTTCTTTTACTGTCAGACCTGAGAAATGTGTTTTATACTCAGGTTCTCGGTGGCCTATGGCAGAATTGGGAGGATTCCAATTGGCAGAGGCTGGGAAGTGCTTATACACTGCACTACCACTGCCTTACCATACCTGGATTTTAGGCTGCCTCCTTGACCCTACAAAGGACATATTATTCTCTCTGTTTTGGAGATGAGGAAACTGAGGCTTTACAAAGTTGAGTAACTTGCCTAATGTCTGTACAAAATTAATTGGGGGCAGAATAAAGATTTGAACCCAGGACTGTCTACCACCAGTGCCACTGCTCTCTCTGCTAACCATGGTGCTTTGTTTCTCACTGTCTTTTTCATAGCTTTCCCCTGCCTCTCTGCCTAGGAAGCAGCCAAATTGTACTTTTTGAGTTGTGTAGGAGACCATGGTGGCAATGATTATAGAGTCCATTGGACCTGAGTTCTAATCCTGATACTGCCACTTAATACCTAGTAGTATGACCTTGGGCAATAATTTAACCTCTCAGAGCCTCAGCCTACTACTCATCTATAAAATGGGAATAATACCTACTTTGCACACTGTGCAGACTAAATGACACTGTACATGAGCACGTTAGGCAGTGCCCACTAAATGGTGGCAGTAGTTATTGTTGTAGTGCTCGTTACTGGATTGTAATAAGAGCACAAAAGACAGAGACCATTAAAAAGGTGCCTTCCCTTTCCTTTGCTTCTTTTTCGTCTTATACATTATAAGAAAACATGATAGGGGTTAATGATGGGTCTTCTGGTCCACAAAGTCTGAAATGAAATGAATTTACAATTCTGATGGGCCTCCATATTTGGGGATTCTCGGGTCCTTTGAAGAGGGGAGTAGGTATGGGGCTAGGGAAAGAGTGTGGAATACTGCTTAGGGGACCAACTAAGGTGAGAGGAATGGCAGTAGAGAGGAGAGAAGCCGATTGTCTCCCTCTGAATGGCCACTGTTGGACTCCCATTCATCCTTCGGGTAGCATTAGGATGAGGTAAGAAGCTGCACTGTGTAGCAGCAGGGCCTGGCTCCAAGCAGCATGTGGAAAGGAGCCACCACTGGGCATTTGGCCAGGTCAGCTGGCAGCTGCCAAGGGACACAAAAGTCTAGGACTGCACATGTATGTTTCTTGAGTGATAATCTCAGTAAACTGCATGAAAATTTAATATGTATAATAGAGAACTTTTACATATGAGAACATGTTCCATTTTCAACAATAATGATTTATTTGAAAAATTTAAAGCTGTTTAAAGTGTATGTATCTAGTAAGCTAGTGAGTTCTGGTAATACTGATCTGTTTCTAATTCTGTAAATTAATTCAGATAATTTTCTGTCTGTCAATGACTTTCTTTTCCTGCTCTGCTCTCAGGAAGAAGACAGCTTCCTAGAAAAGGTAATGCAATCCATTGGTGGTTATGTGTTTCCTGTGCTTGATTAACAGTTAACTGTTGTCCCTAGAATTTGCCCCTAGTCTTTCCCATATCAGAGTCCTCTGGCTCCATGAGAATCCACCAAAGTTCTACCAGCTGTCTTTAAGTGTGTCTGAAGCATAGAAAAGATTTTTGTTGCACTGGTAACCATTGAGTACATAAAAGTAATAGGACTCAAATTCTAGATTTGTATGTTTAAAATGAGAAGTAACTGAAGAGCTGTCTTGATATATCTGAAAGTTCATGAGGTGGAGGAGGGCACTGCTTAGCTGTCCTCCATTTCCAATGATAGTAAAACCAGAATTGGATTTCTGTTGCATTAAGAATGGTTTGGAGTTAGTGACAATAATGGTTAATTACTAAAAGAATACATAGATATATGGTTAAGAAACAGCACAGAATCCTCAAGCTGCACGAGCTCATAAGGGATCATCTGGTCTAGCGCTCTGCCTTCAGATGGGTAAGGTGTTTTCTCCATTCTAATAGACAAGACAACCAAGGCCCAGGAAGGTTGAAACACTCACTGAAGTTCTACTGTTCCTGACATCAGGGGTGTGGAGCAGAGGGGACTGGAACCCAGGTCTCCTGAATACCTAGTGAAGGAAGCTAGTAAAGCAATCTTGCAGTGCTGGGCCACCTCCCATGTTCAGGCTGGAGGGTGTCTGGCTCCATACATGCCTATCGAGTAGAGAAACGTGGGCTTGAAAAACATTCTTAAAGCACTGTCACATAGTATCTAATGTGATATCCCCATTTGGTGGAGTTTAATGCATTTTGATAATGGGGATGGTGTACTGTTTTCTGCCTTAGTTTTTAGCACTATGGTTTCAAACTGTGGGCTTATCAGGCACCACGTGTGTCTCACTGAAAGAAAACAAAGTGTGCCTGATTTCCCTTTGAAAATTAGAATTCAGGATAATTTGTGGACTTTTGAGAAAGTATTATTTCTTGTGCATGATCTTTCTCTAGACTTTAGAGACACAAATATGACATTTCGTATTATCACACATGAGTTTGAAGATGCATAGTGAATGATGTATATAACCTACTGACATTTTATTAACCTTTTAAACTGCTAAGGATTGAGGCGGTTCTGCTTTCCAGCTCTTCCTTGTTAATAGCAGGCCATAATGTCTTTTCATCTCAGACAGTGAGATGAAATTGCCTTGTATTGCCTTAATGCCTTAGTACAAGAAAAGCGTCAGTTGGATGTCGAATTTTTTAAAAAGTACATGAATCAGTGCTGAATAACTTATATATGGTAAGTTTGGAGGCATCTGCTAAATCTGTACATGTGTTGCATTTGGTTCAGAAAATGAGCAGAGTGCATTAGGGACAGTGCTTTGGTTCAGACACCATGTGTCTGCCTGGATTTAATACTAGCAACCGGAAAGAAGTTAGTGGATGAGCCACTGGTAGAAATTCTGGCAGCTACATGGAACATGAATATCAAGTGATAGAATCCCAGGGGAAAAAAGAAAGGAAGCAAAATGAATGTGAAGAAATTAGATTTTAAACAGCAGCGGACTGTCATGCTCTTTTCTCTTCCTCATTCTCTTAGAAAGGTACAGCAGCTTTAAAAGGTCACCAGTGCTTATTGAAGAACATAATGTTAAGCAGAGCCCTTAGCTCTGCTCTAGTATACACAGTCTCTGGAAGTAGTGAAACACTTCTTTTTTTTTCCATAAGGCAACATGGTTGGGGGTTGAGGATAGAATATACAGAGTTTCCTAAACTTGAAAGTACACAATATATAAACTTATGCCAGAGTTGGAGAAAGGGGGAGAAGATCCCAAAAAATGGTCACCATTTTCTCCACTAGGATTTTTCTGAAGGCTGCTTTCATATGACTTTTAATCTGTTGCAGACACTTTTTAATGTAATTTCTATTTGACTATATAAACATAAGATAATTGAGTTTATTTCCCCAGCTATTTACAAGTTCAGATTTAATTGTCACTTTTGGGTTTTTCGCTTAGATTTCTTCAGGAGAATCTAAGAAATTAGAAGGATACGTAAAAAAGGTCACAGACCTGAGAAATCTCTGCTGAGTTTTTAATAAAAAGAATAACTTCTGGACTCAGACCCTGAATTGTTCACAGTATTTCTGGCTCTTGGTGTGCTTTATTTGGTTTACTATTTTTGGATCTTAAGGGTTATGAGTTTTAGTGCCTTAAGATTAGACCTTCCATTGAGCCTGAAATATTCATGAATGTAGGTGTAATGTGGAGAATTGTCTTTAATTTCTGAGGACCAGAGAGCCTCATTTAAATCAGCAATGAAAACTGTAATATTTGTGGTAAGACCTGAGAGAATCGTAGGTTAAAAGTCAACAAAAACTTGCCCTCTCCGAGGACTGTATAAGCTGCCGTGCTGGAACGGTCCCTAGGTCTCGGGCAGCCTGTGCACTCCGCTGTGCGGGTACTGCTGCAGCTCTCATTCTTCGTGTCACCCCTGAGAGGGTTTACAGTACACAGTGCACCCAGCGCTCACGTGATGAACATAATAAACCCAAGTGGAATGCTTCACTGTTAAGCATCTAGAAGAGGAAGGAAATCCTTTAACTGTGGGAACCTGTATCAAGTGCCTTTCTGACCAGGGGTGTCCCCAGGAAGAAAAAAAATGAAATATCTTATGAAGATCACATTGTACCTACATAAGCAAAATATGAAGGAGATAAGTTACACAAGTTTTTACTGAGACCTCTTTGAATCTCCTTTTTCATCTATTAGGAGAAATCCCTTCTGCAGATGGTTCCCTTGGATGAAGGTGCCAGCGAGAGACCCCTTCAGGTCCCCAAGGAGATCTGGCTTCTGGTAGATCACTTATTCAAATATGCCTGTCACCAGGTAAGTGACTGTGGGCCTGCCCTGCAACTTTGGAAGGTGTGTGAATCTGGTAGGAAATGATAATACCTCATGTCAGAATAGGGCTTGTAACTTTTCCAAGCTACATTCACAGAGCAGCGCTATTGGGTCATCTGGGCAGATGGAAGTATCCTTATTTACAGATATGAGACTTGAAGCCTGCAAACTAACTGATTCAACTAAGACCACAGCATAAGTGTAATGGTGGAGCCAGGCCCAAACCAAGCACGCCTGTCTACTGGCTACACAGACTTTCCCCTGGACCACTATGTACCTCAGTCTGTAAGGCCTGCTTCCGGTCTCACGTAGGCATTGCAGATTTTAAAGTCCAAAGCAAACTTCAAGCCCATTTCTTTAATTTGGTTTTCTTTTCTTAATCCTATCTAAAATGCTAGCTACCTCCAACCCAACCCCCCAGATAGAGAAATTTCTTGGGACTAAATTGAAGGAAAATGTTTTCTTACTTACCGAAGAGTAATAGAACTCAAAGGCAAGGCTTGGTATGGGCATGCCATTTACCCCTGCCCTAGCATTCCCTAGTATCAGTATCTGAATGTGGTTCAGCTCTTTGGACTCTGCCTTCTACTTGTCAGGAAGCTAGAAGTGGGGACACCTCATCTCCCACTCTAGGCATCTAGTCCTCTTCCATCTCAAGTACAGGCTAAAACCTTTGAAGATCATTTTCTGGTTTGAAACAAAATTTCATGTGGATTATGTAGATGATAAGTGGAAAAGATGCCATTATCACACCTCTGTTCCTAATCATGAGTGCGCATGTTGCCCCTCCATCTGCATCCTGCCACTCTCTTGATCCCTGGGTGTCTTCAGAAACTTAGGGCTGATTATCTTGCCTCGTTCCATTCATTGTGACCTCTCTGTAGGAGGACCTGTTCCAAACCCCTGGAATGCAGGAGGAGTTACAGCAGATCATTGATTGTCTGGATACTAGCATTCCCGAGACAATCCGTATCCTTTTGGACAAAGGCTTAGGGAACAGGATGAAGAATTTTTGACCAAACTCTCCTTCCCACCTGCATTTGAGTTTTGTGTTTCCATCTTTACTTTCTTTGAAACTGCCTTTTACTATAAGGTAATCGTTGACTCTGCGGTTGTTTTTCAGTTCCTTTCAGGAACTTTTGACTTCTCTCTTGTCTTAGACTCTTACTGAAAGGGATCAAGGGGTAGGTAACAATGACTTTTAATAAACGTGGAACACAGGACCCACAGCACTGGTGCTGTTCTGCTTCAGGCCCTTGATCACTCCTGCCACCACATTGTTGTCACTAGGACATGGAAGAGGATGGGAAACATTGGCGACTAGTTTCAAGGACTGATCCAGTGTAAATGTCATTCTGCACGCCATATTCCCCTGACTCGAGTGGAGCCAAACCTCCCAAGAGTCTTTGGTCAATTCTGTAACAAATCACCTGCAGCATACCTGGACCGATAAAATATCAAATCCCAATTAGGATCAGTGTGCCCTGAATAATAGGAAGGAAATGTCCCTGAGGGAGCTGGAGGAAGAAAGCAAATCGGGTCTCTGTGTGGACTTTTTCCTGGAGCCCCTTTCCCTTGACTTAAGTTAATCCAGCTGGCAGTAATCACTCTGTGGCTGAAGCCCTGCTCATTTTCCTGGAAGCCCTGCCAGAGCCTGTCATCTGTTATGAGCTTTATCAGCGATGCCTTGACTCTGCTCAGGATCCCCAGAACTGCCGACAGGTGAGTTTTGCTGCTCTGAGGATATATTTGGGGCGAGGGCCCCCATAGAGAAATCAATTTTTAGATATGGTAGGATGGGTTTGAATCTGTCACTCATGGTAGGACACCAACATTGAGAGTTGGAACTCTTAAATTTTAGGTTGTGTTATTTCCCGTTATATTTGCCACACTTTTCTAGTTGGCTTATTGAGTAGGGCAGATACCTCTACTCTGGCATTGAATTGGTGAAGCTGATCATATGTGGAATTCTGGCTGACATTACCAGGAAGGATCTGTGACATTGGTGAGCCTTTCTCCTTTTTGTCTTCATGGTGTTTTGGTTTTTTTTAAGATTTTATTCATTTATTTGAGAGGGCACAAGCGAGGGGGCGGGGCAGAGGGAGAGAGAGAAGCAGACTCCCTGCTGAGTGGTAAGCCTGCCACGGGGCTTGATCCCAAGACCCTGAGATCATGACCTGAGCTGAAGGCAGACACGTAACCAACTGAGCTACCCCGGAGCCCCCTTGGTGTTTTTTTTTTCTTTTAAGATTCTGTTTTTAGGGACACCTAAAAGGCTCAGTTGGTTAAGTGCCTGCCTTCAGCCCAGTCATGATCCCAGGGTCCTGGGATCAAGTCCTGTATCAGTCTCCCTGTTCAGCAGGGAGCCTGCTTCTCCCTCTGCCTGCTGCTCTCCCTGCTTGTGTTCCTCTCTCTCTCTCTCTGACAAATACATGAATAAAATATTTTCTTTAAGATTTTTTAAAGTAATGTCTACATCCAGTGTGGGGCTCGAACCCACAACCCCAAGATCAAGAGTCGCATGCTCCACTGACTGAGCCAGCCAGGTGCCCCTTCTTGGTGTTTGTTTTCAGTCTTGAAATAATTTTTTAAAGATTTTTTTAAAAGATTTTATTTATTTAGTTGACAGACAGAGACCACAAGTAGGCAGAGAGGCAGGCAGAGAGAAAGAGAGAGGAGGAAGCAGGCTCCCCACTGAGCATAGAGCCCGACACAGCGCTCCATCCCAGGACCCTGGGATTATGGCCCGAGCCGAACACAGAGGCTTTAACCCACTGAGCCACCCGGGCATCCCCCTTTTTAAAGATTTTTATTTATTTATTAGAGAGAGAGAGAGATAGCAACAGGCAGAGAGGCAGGCAGAGAGAGAGGGGGGAAGCAGGCTCCCCGCTGAGCAGAGAGTCCAATGCGGGGCTTGATTCCAGGACCCTGAAATCATGACCTGAGCCGAAGGCAGAGGGTTAACCCATTGAGCCATCCAGGCGCCCCTCAATCTTGAAATAATTTTGATGCACAGTGGCTGAGAATACCATTCAATCAGACTGGTGAATATTGAGAGGAGCTCCCATCCATGCTAAATGACATTACAGAGAAAACCATTGAGCTTGGCAGATGCCGTGGCTACTTGTCTGAGGAGATGGAAAAGACCAGATTAATACTAACCTGCTTGTGAGGTGGTGTATATGTGTGAATGTGTGATGACCACAACACACATGTGACTGTGGCCTGGTCATTGAGTGTACAGAGACCAAACAGTATGACCATTCTGACTTGGAAGTTTTCATTTGGCAGGTACTCTGGTAGTCATGAGGAAATAAAAGAGAGTTGTGACAAATGAATGGGATCCTGTATGGGTTGGATTATAAACTACTGTGGCAGCTATAAGCTCTTCTTACTCCTTTCTTTCACTTGTTCTCCCCACTGTCTTCCCCCCTCTTTTTAAAAACAGGTGATTTCCCAGCTTCCAAGATGCCATAGAAATGTTTTCCATTACTTGATGGCATTCCTTCGAGAACTCTTAAAATTCTCTAAATACAACAACGTCAGCGAAAACATGATAGGTAAGGGTACTTCATGAGAATAGCAACATGAGCAGGAGGGTGGGCTGGTTGGGAAAGCTTTCACATCCAGGCACATGGCCCACTGCCCTCATCCCCTGGTCCCCCAGTTCCCATCCCTGAGGCTTTGCTTAGGTTGTGTCTAACAAAGATTTTTCCCCTTTCCTTTCTCTCACCCTCTAGCCACTCTCTTCACTAGTCTTCTCCTGAGGCCTCCACCCAACCTTATGGCAAGACAGACTCCAAGTGACCGTCAACGTGCTATCCAGTTCCTTCTGGTATTTCTTGAAAGCGATGAAGACTAATAAGCCTTTTCCTCTTAGTACTCTCTGAGATTCTAGAGGTGGAAGATCTTGGGCACCAAGTATTTCAGAATGATTTGAAAAGTCATGCCACAGGAAGGGTCTGTTGCAGAATTTTGAGCCTGTTGGCATGAAAAGGTTGTTTCTAGTGCAAGAGGAAGAGAGTTGCCTAATCGCTCCCTTACCATATCCTACACAGCAAAATACTTTTAGACTTATATTGCCAAGCCAAAGGTACCATATTTTGGTGTTTTTGTGTTCTCTCTTTATAAGGCAAAGAGATCTGTATTTACACTCCTTTACCTGGGGATGTGTTTGTTGCCCTCCTGCCCAGCTATCATGATTGTCCTTAGCGCCCTAGGCCTAGATTCTGAGATGTTCCTGTTCTAGGTCTACAAGCACTACGTGCATAGCTCAGACTCGTTTGCAGTCCTTCGTCTAAAGCACTTTTGCCCAACCCCCTCCCATATCACCCCTTTGCACTCCACTCCACTAGTTCTATTACGTCAAAGGAAGTCTGAGTGAAGCTAGTGACTCCTCGAATGTCCCCAACGGTGAATTAACCATCTACATGTGGTTGTGACATGCATTTGTGCATTTCTACTACAGTGGCATCTGTATGTCTATAACATTGGCCTTTTCATGGATCTGCACTGAGTGGAACCATATTCTCTTGTCCCAGACCACATTTCCTAGCAGAAGTTTAGGGACTACTAGAGATGACATCCCATTGATGTGAGAGAATCACAGTCAGAGTGGAAGCACTTTGAGCATTTCAGAAGTGAAAATATTCATGTTTGACAGATCCTACTTTCTACCATCCCTTTCTGTTCTTAATCAAATTTTACATGAGAACTAATACTGGTTGTCTGGGGGACCCATTCCTCACTTAGAAATCCACCTCCAGAGCAATGCTTGCATCACAGTCAAAAAGGCAGTCTGGACCTCAGGTGGGCCTCTCTGGCGATACTGCTCCTTCCCCCAGCAGGATATTGTGAATAATCCTTAGAACCCCTCTCTGGTCTCCTGAAATACCAGGGGGCAGCTGTTGCCCCCTCCCTCATCAGGGTTGGCTCTGGGCTCTATGACCAGCTCCCCATGGCTCCTTATCCAGTGTTATGTAAAAGAGACTGTGCAGTGAGCCCAACGAAGCCCCTTTCTCCCCCACCCAAGATAACCTTCTGAGCTTTTCGTTTACTCAAGCTCTGTGGGGCAGCATTTTTTTTTAATTATTCTGTGATGATTGGCAAACCAGCTACCAGCCACTGACTGCAGAACTGCCTGATGCAGTTGGCTTCTTCCTGGATGTCTTTCATTAAAACCACCCTGAATCAACTCATTCTTGACTGTTAACATTAAAGCCAAGGAGCCTAATGTACGGGCTCTGTGTCTGGTCTTGGGCATTGACTCTTGACTCTTTTAGCACACTGAAGGAGAGAGCCAGGGGAAACACCACTGCTGAATGCTTCTTCAGTTCCCCCATCTCTCGTAAGTTGAGTTCTGTAGGGGAAGAAAAGGTATGTATCCTGTGATATACTGGTTAAACCCTTTCCTGCTTTGGAGTTATGAAACTAGGAGTCAAGTTCCTGGTGCCAAATAGCTGCAGATCTGATACGTCAGAATTTCATTAATGGAAGATTGTGAGCAGAATGCTTTTGTCATCTCCACTAGGCCAGAAAGTGATCATGGGAGAGGCAGATTATAGAAGCTGGGGCAAGGTCGTAACGCAAAGACAGGGAAATGCCTGTCCTGGGCACATTGTCTAGTATATTGCCAACCTGGGATCTTTGGGTCAAGGATATGGTTGGTGGGGACCGTTTGCTGCATCCTAGCTCTTTGTTCATGAGGCAAACACACTAAATTTGTTTACCGCCTCTGTGTTTTTCCAGCTCTGGCCCTGGGATGTATACAGCATTAAGAGTTTGAGACAATCTCTAGGCAGGGGAGACAGAAATAGAGTAGGTGTAAGAAATCTGCTCCCCTACTGTGCCTACTCCAGCAGCCAACCTCTAATTCCTAAGTAACTCTAATGTGCTATTTATTTCATAGCTCCTCTGAAGTAAGTTCAGATCCAGCTGGTAGAGAAGAACTCTGCATCTGTATTGTTTTAGGGAAGAAATGGTTCGAACCCACATGGTGACATTGCATTAGTTTCCCTTTCACTGTTTTCTGATTCTTACTCTGTAATTCTTATATTTCCCAGAAATGTCTTGGTCACTAAGCAAAGCTGCTAGTGGTATTCTGTATTTTGTGTCATCTTTTTTTATTATAATTTATTGCAAATTTTTTTTCTGAATAAATACATGTTGTGTGAAAAATCAGTGTGATCTTGGTAAGGAAGAACTGAGGAGGGAGGCTTAGGTCACTGGGTCCCACTTGACTGCGGTCCTCACAGCTATGACTGTTGTGTCCTTTCCTTACAGGGAAATACAAGAAATCTCAGTATATTTGCCCTTGGATAGGAAAAGCAGCCACATATTTTCAGAGGCTAAGAAAGAAGTCACAGTGCTTCCAGAGGCCAGCCCAGGATCTTATCTTAACCCTGGGGATTCAGGCAACAAAATAATACTGTTAGGAAAAAAAGATGTTGATTCTTTATGCATGTAAATGTCACCCTGGGTCAGATTCATGATCATCCCAACCCCCAGAAATCCAACAAACCCCAACATACATATTTTGGGAGAACCCAGTGTCCTTGCCAACATAGCCTCAGCAGTTTAGACATTCCCTACAAAGAGCCTGTTTTCACAGGATTCATTTGCAACTTTGAAAATCAGTTTTGAACCATTATTACCTCTTGGGGGGACAAAGTCCATAAATTTAGTTCTTTTGGGGGGGCTCTAATCTGAACATTTAAGAGGAAACCCCTAATTTGAGCATGGTGCCTTTTATTCCCCTGCCGATCTCCATTCTGGTTCTCTTCCCTTTCAGACCAAAGAGGCCTCAGCTGGAGCTTACTTTGCAACCAGGGCCCTCTTCCAGTTCCGTCTGACTATGAGCTTGACCCTGATGAATGTGCTGATTCAGTGTTGTCATAAACAGTTTTTTTAGCCCCACCCAAAGCCTTGGCAGAGGAAGGTGTTTCCTTTTGAGAGAGATTTCTCCCCAGCAGACAGAGACGACGGACATCCAGCAGTTTTTACACAGCAGCAGGCAATGTTGGCAGAGCAGCCTCAGTGACGACCTTTCCAGAGGTGACAAACTGCAACCCTGGCTGCTGTTACAGGAGAACCACTGGGTCTTTCAGACCAGCGGGCAAGTGGATGACCTGGCTCTTGGTGTAGCCTAATAATTAACAGCTACACACAGCCAGAGTGGGATCACCAAGTGTTAGGGAGAGAGAACCTTAGTGATCTAACTCAATCTCATTGTTCCCACAGGCAGACTCAGGCTTAGAAGGGACAAGGAGGGACTCAAGGTCACTTAGGTTAGTGACAGCATGCCAGAGTGGGAAAAAAGAGTTTAAACTTTGGTGTTAGACCTAGTTCTTTCTTCCAACTTTTTATTACAAAATCTTTCAAACATACAGAAAAGTCAAAAGGATACAGTGAACACCCTATACCCTTAACTCACCACCTGTTAACATTTTGCCACCATTCATCTCAGAGAGGTTTGATCTTCGCTCTGGATTCTGCCACTTCCTCCTCATGTGTGACCCTAGACTGGCTAGCCTGTAGTTTCCTGGCTTATAAAATGGAACAGGCCTAGCACTTGTTTTTTTTTTATTTCTTTTTTAAATTTTTATTTATTTATTTGACTGAGAGAGAGATCACAAGTAGACAGAGAGGCAGGCAGAGAGAAGGGAGAAGCCGAGCAGAGAGCCCGATGTGGGCCTCGATCCCAGGACCCTGAGATCATGACCTGAGCTGAAGTCAGAGGCTTAACCCACTGAGCCACCCAGGTGCCCCCCAGCACTTGTTTTGATGACTTAACTACATCTCCTCACTTCCCTCTTCAAAACTCCTTAGTGAGTTCCCAGTGCATTTAGAAGAAACTCCAAACTTCCCATGGCCTACCAGGCCCTGCATTATTAAATGAAAAAGAAATGACGTGGCAGGCCCTGTATGTAGTGGGTGCTGTGTAGCTCTTAGCCTCTGTCCTGCGCCCCTTAACTCTCCCGTGTATTTCACTGATTGTCTCGCAACTGCCAAAGGCTTTCTGTCTTTTCATTTGACGTTAATCCCGTCAACTAGATAAAAGACCCCATGCTCAGCCTACTCCGCCGCCCTCCCCCTCCACCACCCACACACCACAGTGCCACCCTCTATACTCCCATATTTCAGCCTTCTCCTGCACGTTTGGGAAGTAGGACTGAGGTGTAAATTAAAGGACACATAACGAGTGGCCATCACTAGTATGTGACACCTGGCTGTTGTTGAGCCTCAGGAACCACACTTGCAGTCTGCCCATCCCCCCTGGCACCTCCTTTTGCTTTTTCCTATCCTGCTCCGCCCTGCCCTGGGTGCCTGGTTCCTGGCCCTTCTTTCTCTGCTTTGTAGATAAATACTCCCTCCAGTTTCCACTTTTGCTGCTCCTACCTGAATTGATTCTTAGCCAGCTAATGCTACTTAACCTTCTCCCTTGTCTGTTCTGTGGGAGCTACTCCCATCCCCCAGCCCCCCAGGTAGACAAGAGGGGCTTGCCTTTTCTTCAATCACACTTTGAAGCCATGGTTTTGTGCCTTTCACTTCCCCATCTCCAGTATAGATGAGTGGTTCTCAACCCTGGCTACTCACTCGAGTCATCTAGAGCGTGTTTCTCCAAGTGTGGGCCCCAAATGACTATTACGTGGAAACTGGTCTAAATCAGTGGTTCTTAACCCTGGGCACATAACCCAGGGTTTTTCAAAAATACCAGTGCCTACACCCTATCTTAGAATGTTTGAATGCTTGCCAGTAACATTCCCCTGCCCCCAACACTATACTCTGACACTGCCCTTTCACTCCTCCCTGTTAGCTAAGCTCTTTGCCACCTCAGGGCCTTTGCATGTGCTGCTTTCCTCTACCCAGAAACCACCTCTCTTATGCACTTAAGAATAGCTAAGCTTCCTTGGGACACATGGGTGGCTCAGTCAGTGAAGCATCTGGCTTCGGCTCAAGTCGTGATCCCAGGGTCCTGGGATTGAGTCCCACATTGGGCTCCTTGCTCAGCGGGAAGC